GTATTTTGTTAACAAATGTTTTTGGGGGTGCTTTAAATCTAAATAATTTTCATAGTCAAATGACCTTTTGAATGAAAAATAAGTGTCCAATTTTCCTTGATTCTGCAAATAAAAATCTCGCATTTTCTCCCAATCATTTTGAAAATTTAATTTGAGCTGTTTTTTCAGTAAATTTTTAAATTTATTTTTGCCTTAATTTTTACATATATTTAGGTCAATACCCAATTTTTCGCTGTAGAAAATGATATAAGAGAGCCATGAATTATTAGAGATAGTTTGAGCTTTACTCTCAATCATTTTTAACTCAGCATAAGCACTTTTCAATAAATCAGATTGGGAATTCTCTAGTCTATGCCAATACATAAACATATGTGTTAGCAAATTTATATAAAGAGGATATCTACCCAGTTCAGACAGGACTGCTACGTTTGTGCACATCTTTGTAACACCAATAATATACTTGCAAAATTTTTAATTTAGCTTCTCAAACTCCCAATCTTTAAATATGTCATAAAGGGATATTTTTTTCCTTTTAGGAGTAATGTTGATAACACCCCAATTTTCACAACCATACGTTACAATTGGCTGTATACAATGATCAAATAAATGCAAAAGAGTTTTAATAGGATTTGATGATTTCAAATCTTTATACAGTTTGAAACTGGCCTTTTGACCTTTTTGGAATAATTGTTTCCTGGCTTCATTAAAGTATATGGGATGACTATGCCAAGATATTTGTATTGTTTAACACATTCGATAGAATTATTTCCTATCTTGAAATCTTCATTAAGGAGTCTACCACTCCTATTGAATATAATAATCTTTGTTTTCTTCACATTTATTTCCATACACCATTGAATCTTTGCAGAATGTGCACAAAGTATCAAGTCTCTTGAAATTGCCTCTTTTAACATATTTTTCTATGAGACATTTAGTACAAAAATGTGATCCGAAGTGCGAGCTTTCTTAGAAAAACCTATTTGAGTTTTATTTATATTATTATCAGATAGAAATTTATCAAGTCTGTTATACTGAATTGTATTGAAAAGTTTGCTAAGACTATTATTGATGGCAATACCTCTGTAATTTTCAGGGTTCTGTGGGTTATCAGATTTGAATATAGGAGTAATGTAACTATCAGACCATTTACTTGGATAAATGCCAAATAGAAGTATGGCATTAAAAAGTTTTAGTAAGCAATCTTGCATATAGCTCTGTGAAACTTTTAACATTTCATTTGTAATAGTGTCTAGCCTGACCTGGACTTTTCCCACATTTTAATTGCCTCAGGGCTTTTTGGAGTTCACCAGGGGTAATTTTAAAGTCAATCTCACTGAATCCAAACATTAACAAGGTTCCAATAATCTTTTGGATAATGCTTTTGTTCTTTTACCTCTAATCTCTTTGTTAGCTTTCCAAATAAGCATGTTTGACCTTAATAGAGGTGAAGTGAAGATCACACTTTTTTTTCCTGAACGAAAAATCTGAAAATTGTGCTTAGCATTGTGTATGTGTTTCATAAACTTTAAATAAGGCAAACTGAAGTTAGAGTGCGGAAACGAACAACTTTTCAATTTTCCAAGTTATAAAGAGCCATAACTCTAAAACAGTAGGTGATTCAATGCTCAAATTCGACCTCTGTTTGCAAGTTTTAGTTCTTAGCATTGTGTATGAGTTTCATAAAATTTGCATAATGCAAACTTAAGTAAGAGTACTGAAACGAACAAATTTTGCAATTTTCCTAGGTATAAAAGGGCATAACTCTAGAACAGTAATTGACTCACTGCCCAAATTCGAACTCTGTCTGCGAGTTTTGGTTATTAGCATTGTGTGAGTTTCATAAAATTTAGATGAGGAAAACTTAAGTTAGAGTGATCGATGAAACGAAAATGTGACGAACGGACGGTCAAGGGTAACACTTAATAGGACAGTCACTTAGAGAATGTTGCGATGTTAAACATGTTTGCTGGCTCAAACACATAAATCGAAAACGAACCGACAGTGCTATGGCAAACACGAAAAACGACCAAAAGACAAACAACAGTATACAAAACACAATATAGAACTAAAGACTGAGCAACACGAACCGCAACAGTTCAAAAACAGGTATGATCTCATGTGCTCCGGAATGGGAAGCAGATTATGCTCCATATGTAAATTTACCGTTTAAAGCCTTTACCTTTGATTAAAGATAACATAGACATTATTGTAATAAACGTGTTATATTTCTTATTTTGATTATTGGGAAGAAAGTATATCTGTAACATAACTTAAAATTTACTATTTACAAAATACGAAATATAATATAACATTTTGAAAAGTTTACTTTGTCACGTCCTAGCCTGCTCTAGAGTTGTTCCCTCGGTAGATATTTGGTATGTCTCCGAACTCGGAATATACAAATATTATTGTCAAATTTGTCATATACGCTCTACTAGTAGTTATGTTTCATAAACGACGATTTTCATCAAGTGATGTATTTCCGGTGATTCTTTTTCTGGCTCAAGGTTTATAAGGTAAATTGCATCCGGCTGTAAATTTAGGGAAGTTTTGCTAGTTTAAAACCGTATGAATATCTTCCAAATCTCTCTATATATATATGTGCTGTAAGGAGATTTTCATAAGAATCTTTTGGAAGTTTTTTTGATAATTTGAATGACGAAAAATTGTTTAAAACTAAATTATAATTACTAAAAAAACAAACAAAAAACAACGGAAAGTGGCTTTGACTTTAATATGGACTAGATTCACACGGGTTTGAAATTTGAATACAAATCATGAGAGGAAAATGTGATTCATTTGAGCTGCAATGGAAGAAATATATGCAGCATGTTTGCTTCAGTGAAGATTACGATATGTTCTTATATGGTTTGATTAGTACAGTTTTCACACCAGCGCAATTTTCAAAAAGTCTTTATTTTTTTCACTAAAATTCACATTCTTCATGAAAACGAATATTTAAGCAGGCGTAAATTGTCATTCCGATACAAAGATGTGTTATGGGGTGTTCTTTGGTGCTAAATATTACTACATGTACAAAATCATGTAACATATGCAATATTGTTTGAAAAATTATGATGTTGGTCTTTTTTTATCTTTGAAATTTCATTCTATCACTGGTATAGTTACGTAGTCTCAGATTTTATACATTCATCTTCCATTATAAAATTCCAGAAATTTTCGACAAAATTTAATTTTCTGATTTTGGATCTTCAATGAAGAGTAGTTAAAAATCACCTCATCATTCTTCAATATACAGTATGTGGATTTTAATGCAAAGGAAGTGTTTGCTTTTTTACAACTTTTACCTTCACAAACTGTTAAAATTGCAGTATTAAAAGTACTGACATACTGTTCACTCCGTCTAACAAGGTTGTGACTAGCAAGTAAACGACAGATATTCTCATATCACGTAGCACCTAAGATCACCCCCATGGGGTTAGTGTTGCTCAGTCGTTAGTTTTGTATACTGTTTGTCTTTTGTTCTTTTTTCGTGTTTTGCCATGTATGTCGTTGTCAGTTTGTCACCGACTTAAGAGTTTGGATATTCTATGGTATATTGCTCCTCTCTTTAAAAGTATGACTACATGTTATTGTTTTCTTATTCAATGTCTAGTAGCGAAAAATCTCCGTCGAATTTGGGAAGGGAATAAATTCACCAATAAATCAATAAGTTAATTTTTATCCATATGGAGGAAGGGTTGGATAGAAAATCTACCAATGAGATTATTTTGGTAGGGTCAGATATGCTTACTTGCAACAAGTCACATGAGAACCACCCTAAAGTTGCTGCAAATTAGTTTTTTAAGCCAATACCGCTCCGTCTCACTCATTCGATTTATTCTGTGTTCATAATGATAATATCTTGTAATTGTGTTAAAAGGGACTTGTTATCATGAAACTAGCAGGAATCAAATACCAAGTGAGGACAAAATATAGAGAGCTCACAGTTGGCAATTTGGGTTGAGATGCTAAACTTCGTATCTGCATGACTAAATAAAACGCTGATCCAATAACGTTTTGAAAGGGTGTTTGAGGGTTGTGGCTGTGCAAGAGATCGTTTGTTTTTTTTTGTATCTTTAGGAGTAAATTAAATAATTCAGATAAAATGATTTTTAAGGTAACTAAAGAAATCAAAAGACAGTGAGTTCCCACTCCTGAACTTTCCTTAATTGAACTTGTTTATTATTAAAAACAAGGTCATTAAACGAGGGTGTTCATAATGGTTATATAAATCATAGTAACTTGATGTATGATGGAACATGATATATTGACTAGTCAATACTCTATTCCCAGATGTGTGTAGATAATCTCAAGTTCTTAAGTTTACTTTAGAAAATTAAAAAAAAAACAGATATTGCCTTATCAAGCAGAGTCAAAATGAAGCGGATTGAACCAGCTATTGGTCACACTATGAATATTTTTCTAATAGGTGGATTTTTTACGACTTGAACTTTGTAACATTTTTATTCACTACTGTACTGTGGTGTATAAACTATTACCAGAAGTCCATTTAATCTGGGACTATTATACTTACGTTAGTATAATAGTCCAAGATTATTTTACTAGCTGGGTCAATTATACTAACAATATATTATGGATGGGGTTTACAGAATAGAGAATAATGGGCAAAATTTGCAAAAAAACGGGCCAAAAAAATAAGAATGGAGAATAGTGGAGTGCTAAAATATAAAGAATAGAGAATAACATGCAAAATTTATAAAGAATAGAGAAAAATGGTATAAAAAATTAAAGAATACAGAAATTAAGAAGCCCCATCCAGACTCTCACTTCTGATATAACTGTTACATTAAAACTCATCAAAGATGCATATTTCCTCCATTTGATCTGTTTTCAGTTTTAAAAAGTGCTCTTTTTGTATCTATTTTTCAAATGTACGTTACCAAAATCAAATGCCATCCTCGTACAAAATCAAATTTCGCGCGTATTTTTTACTCTGACTGGACCTGGAAATTCCGAAGGAAAATTGAAACGAGGCTGCATTTTACCTTGACCTTTTAGTCACAACTCAGGTATTCGTAACCGAAAACTAGAAAACTCTTACAGGTGAGTACGTCTTTGAAGACTATTTTCAATTTAAAATATATCTTGTATAGAACAATGAAAGTCATTATAGAGAAAAAAAAATCCATACACCTGTAGTTATCCTGTTCACCTGTGTTTACAGGTGTGCTTTTTGAAATGTATATAACTGAACCGCCATTTCCGTAGAATTAATCACAATAATAACAGTGGCATGTTATTATTATCGTTGCAACGAAGGATAATTGTATTTAGTTAAATATCTCAGTTTGAAACACTTAATTAGAACAGGTGATAGTTTAAATAAATGTTATTAGCAGGTTTCACCTGAGAAAAGGCACTTCCGGTTTACTTCCTGGAGTTCATTTAATCAGAAATTAGTAGTTTTTGACAATAATACTGTGTTAAACATGTTATTCAGTTAAATATCACTATTGTGGGTGATTTTTTTGACAGAAACAGTTGAATAACAAAATACTGAACTCCAAGGAAAATTCAAATACAGATTATTTTGGGGAGTTACTATAGTGTTATTAACTGGCTGTTTCTGTATTGGCCCTGTTATAGATTCCAGGTTAGCTGTATTGGACCAGAGACTCGAAGAGTCGAGGGCCAATTAATACAGCTGATTGAGAATCTATAAGAGGGCCAATACAGAAACAGCCAGTTCATAACACTTTTATTAAATGATTTTAATTCTTATAATTAGAATACACGAAGAAACTTACCATGAAGAAGATACAGAATTTCATATCTGAACTTCGTCTTTTCGCATTCACGTCCATGGATTTTTTGTCAACATTGTCAGATGTAATTTCTGAATTCTCGTCAAAGTACTTAATATTATGCTATTACAATTCATTTTATCTAGCAAATATAAAGTAGCTGGGAAGAATAAATCAGACAGTTTATTTTTTCTTACTCTTGGATCGTCTGCGTTCTGATGATTGATCAACGGAAATGAAACAGTGTCAACAATCGAAAGTCGTACTCGAAAAGGCTGTGAAAATTCAAGAAGTTTCAAAACACTGAACATCATTTAAACTTTTTATTTTATGATTTTAAGTTAAAACAATATAATGCAAATGTTTTTTTATGCATAACGATACGTCCCAAGTTAAGTAAGGCGTAAGAAAATTGAAACCGGAAGTGAACGTTCCGTATTAGCCCATGGGCCAATACAGCTTTTTTTCCGCATTGGTCCTGTTTTTTCCGTATTGGCCCTGTCTGAAAAAGCAATATTAACTCTTGATTTATATCGACAGGGCAACATCATCAGTATTGCACATGCTGATTTAACCATATTAGGGCTGATTTGCTCATATCATTTAATAATCAAAAATACATCTATATGTAAAAATAAGGAGATCTGGTATGATTGCCAATGTTTATTTCATAGGTACAGAAGCATAGAAAGATCTTAATTTAAAGCAAGATAGCATATTGTGGCATCATCCCCTTTTACCAATTGATGGTATCATGCCCACATGCCACTGTTTCTTGAAAGTGTTTTTCCTATAGTGTTTTATACCCTTTTTTGGAAGCAAGTCAACTCGTACCATTGCAAACTCGTACCAAGTCAACTCGTACCATTGCAAACTCGTACTTTGTCAACTCGTTCCACTATAAGTCAACTTGTACCAATGTAAACTCGTACCATGCAAACTAATATCAGTAAAAAGATTTCCTTGAATTTCTTAATTACTAGTATCATAGACTTAAAATTGAATTGTTTGTTATCTTACAAATTACTTTCTATTAATTACCATTCTAATTAATAAATTACATTCCTGTAATTGTATGATTATGTCTGTAGTTAATTAAATTATGATTGGTGTTATTTAATTTGATAGCTTGGAAATAATTGAATAATGTCTTTTATCAAAATACAAGTTCATAATACTTAGTCATCGCAAAGACCCATTTCTCACACTTTAATGCTATGGGATAGTGAGAACATTTTAATATTTATTGTGTAATAGTTTGTGTATGTTAATGTTGATGAAATTGTTGAATCATAATCTGGTGTATATAATCTGGTGTATGTGTTTGAACAAATTATAGCGTAATACTTGATGTTTTGTTGATTACATGTACAAGAAGGTTGATGAAATTGCCGGCAATTAAGCACCAAAATTAAACTTATTCTTTGTTACTTTCTCATGGATACTAGTCAAGACACAATTAAACATGACACAAAAAACATTAAAACAAACTAACTCTTTGTTTTTTCATCCAATTAGCCAAGGAACAATCATTTGTCATTGTGACTTTCAAATTATATACTTTTTACAGACATAAGTTATTTAGTTAAAATTAAATATATATTCAACATTTAACACCATTTTACATAAGTTGGTACGAGTTTGCAATGGTACAAATTAACCGTGGTACGAGTTTGCTTTTAGTGGTATGAGTTTGCAATGGATCACTACGAGATAACTATAATTCCCTTTTTCATGGCAATGGGAAGGCTTTATTACGTGCCTCATCATTTTGTTCAAGACAGGTCTTTTGAATTGTCAATCTCGTCGAAAGGCTTCGATTATTTCCATTAATCCTATTGTTTAATCTCAAATAGTAAGGGTGAATCAAGTTGGGGCAATTCTCATAAATGTGTATTATATAATAACCACTTACTTTACTAGACAGAAAAATTAGACTTCCACAGTGGTGCATACATTTCAAAAAATTTTATTAATTGTTTGGAATAACATGAAATTTCTCTGTATGACATAAATTACTAAATTATAATACATGTACATTTCAAATTTTAGATGTTTTCATAAAATGCTGGTATACCTATTGCTTCTGTCTGTCCTGGTGCAGACAGGATGGACACAAACAAGAGACACTGTTATAACAAACACTGATGGATACAAGATGGATAGAGCCCCGTAAGTTATATTTCTTTTTATGTCTTAATCATTTTGAAAATAAGCATGGTTTAAGGGAAAATTTTCTGTATAGATGAGAATTTCACAATATGTGAATAGAACAAATGTGTGGGGTATAAAACAAGAGGCATTAAGCCCAGCAACACTAAAAACTAAAAAGACATTTGAACAATGCAGTTTTATTTTGGTATACAGTTAAGAACCTTGGACTTTACTACTGAATTTACCAAGTAATGTTTTAGCACAAGCAGCAAAAACTGGCATCTCTGTTATACTAAGATAGCTGATTTAGTCATTTTGACAGTCAAAGAGGAGCATTTTGATCTTGCACTGAGGTATAATGTTTTGCTTCGCTATGACATTGAGATTAAGAACAGCAATAAAAGTGTTGTTCCTAAGATTAGAAAATATTGAAAGTCAAACAGAAGGAAGATACATGTTTCAGGACTTTAATTCATTGTAAGATTTGTTAACTGTTTCCCTGTTTGTAATGCTGGATTTTCTGAAATATTTCAAATGACCAAACTCTGTCTTTATTGGAATTTTTGTTCTTTTTTAATTGGTGAACCAATGTAAGATAATTTATTTTTTAAAGCACCTTAGGTTCTTCTAGATTAGGGCCCCTTGTTTATATTGGATTTAATATTTTCTCTTTTATTTGTTGAACAAATGAACATTTTTTTCTTTCTATTTATAGCACCTTCCTGGTGGTGGCGCCAAAAAGAATCAGGCCAAGTATGGTCATTCAAGTCTTTGTGACTATTCTGCGTCTAGAATATCAGCAAGTTAATGTAAAGATATCCGTGGTTGAAGGAAAAGTGATGTATGCAGGATCGGAATTAATGTTCGATCGTCCAGGAAGCAGAATAATGCAAATGAGGGTATCTAATTTTTAAATTTCATACATTAAAATTTTGAAATGTGTTCTTTACTATATTTTATGTATTTTTATATATCAATAGAAAAGAAATTAATTCAATAGTTTAAAACAAAACTTCTTAAGTTAATATTTAAAGATCTGAAAAATCTGATTAAAAAATAATTTTCAAACAATTTGTCAGATTGAAATACAGACATTGTGTCCACTATTAGTTAATATGGAGAATCCAGGGGTGGGTTCAACCATATTTCCCTATTCAAAAGCATTGATCGTCAAAAAAAAGGTGGGATTTCCAACCCCGGAACACCCCCTGGATCCGCTACTTGAATCTGACAACACTTCTTTCCACTTTCTGTTTTGCTTATTATTATGCCAATCTCAAAATGTTTGATAATGTGTAACATTACAACAAAGCACAAAAATAACAGAGAAATGGAGCATTGTTAAATCCCTTGAAGCAAACCATGAACATTTGGATTTTCAAAAAGGTCAAAGTTTTAACTATTTTTACACTAAAATCTCCAAAGATCTATCTTTCATTAAAAGTAATTTTAAAGAGTTAGCATGATTCTGATGTTAAAAACTGTTCTATGCAATACTTTCCAAGTAAAATGTGTACTTACATGTAACAAACTAATTTTTGCAATTTTCTCTAAGAAAATAACGGCAATATAAATCGTCACAATGATGTCAAACTAGAACCTTATCTTAAAAATATACATAGCAAAAATTAGAAAATTGTGATGTTGGTAAGCAGGGCTTAAAGCAAAAAAATTTGATTTACATAGATAAAGTTGGTTTATGATATTTTGAAATTCCTGTTTAACATACAATGTTTGAATACCAAAATTACTTACACAACATTTTAAATTTAAATTTCTGACCTGGTAACAAATTAGAACCCTATATCAATACATGTTTTACATATTTGTAATTACTAATATGAATGGACCTCTTCACAAAAGAGTTGGTAGAAATAAAATTTAACAGTGAATTTTGTTTGCCTATACACCCTTAAACAGTGTTTACTTTTTTTATTCTTTAGGATGGGACAATGATACATTTATCAAAATGACATAAGAGATCCATCAATCAAAATTGGGATCAAGCAAATTTTATGGAAATGTGCAATATATGGCTGTCCTGAAATGCAGGAGTGAAAGAAATTATTTATACAAATTTAAATAAAAATATTTTTCTTTTAGATGCCTGGCAATGCTCAAGAAGGAAATTATATTTTAAGAGTGGAAGGCAGTGAATATGGAAGTAATAGTGGGAATATATTTTTCAACGAGACCAGATTAGAATTTAGCCCTAAACAGGCTTCATTGTTGATACAGCTCAGTAAACCTATTTATAGACAAAGTCAGACAGGTAAGTAGATCTAGAAGTAAAATATAATGACCAAACAAAATTACAAGTTACAGATAAACCATATGTGTATTTATAGAAAATGTGGTGCTCAAAATCAAGTATTGGAAATCCAAAAGTTTCAAATGTAATATATTTAGAGTAAAAGTGCCAAAAAGAACAAAAAGTACCTGATAAGATCGACAAAATTATAAAAATTTAGGAAGCGCTCAGCATGATAAAAAGCAACAATGAAAAATAAGTTTGTGTACAGTATTTGGTATTGATAAGCATTATTTTCAAGAAATTATGTTTTTTTCTTATTTCAGTGCATTTCAGAGTGGTACCAATCTTACCAAATTTAATGCCAAAATATGGGAGTATGACCATATATGTTCATGTAAGTAAAGATATATATATATAACTTATACTAATTTTCATAGTACCCACTAAATCTAGGAGAATGTTACCCATTGAAAACTATTTTTATAAGATATTTATGACTGCTGAACACCTTACAGCAAATATTACATGTAATCAGGAAGATATGGTTAATTGAATATGAATATACCCTTCTTTTTTTAAAACAAACATGCAGAGTCAGATTTTCAACATGCTAACTTTCAAAGTAGTCTGCAGGAAGATGAATCATCCTACCAGGACACATTTTTCAGACTCCATACCAACCACATGCTTTGCCAGCTTTATAATTTTTTTCGATTTGTGTTCAGTAAAAAGTAATGATGATGAGATCATACTACTTACTACATTGATATAATTATATTTGTTTTAGGATCCAACAGGTTTTCCTGTAAGAAGATGGTTGGCTGTACAGACAAATGCAGGAGGTAAAAATGAAGAAAAGAGAAAAAAAAATAATATACACTTATGAAATTTGATTGCAACATGTAGCATTGATTCCGAAAGTTATCTTCAAACTCTTAAACCTAAAAAAAGTACGGTCCTTTCATATTAGCATGATAAGTAAAGTATTTTAGATATGTATATGTCAGTTATAAGATTTTAGAACAAGGCCGTAAACAATGTGGAATAATTTAAAAGAATTGAAAATTCCATTAGGCAGCAGAGTAAAACTGTGAGAAGTATTGACAAAAATGTTAGAATATTGTTTTCTCTGTCACAAAACCTACCCAAACCAGGAAGTTTCTACTGAATCTTATTATTTAAATTGAGGGATTGTCAAAAACTTCTTAATCATCCCTGTTCTAAAAAAAATGTAAATAAATTGATCAAAAACTATCAGAGAATTACCATCAACAACAGATTCACCAAAAAAATATTCAAATGTGACAAAAGACAACCACTGATGAGGTTCCTGAATTGGGGGAATGCTCATGAATATATGGCTGAGTGATACATTGACAATCATACCATATCTCCTTATTTTAATATATGAGCTGCATCGGATAGAAATCCACCTTATGCAACTGAATATCAATACATCTGTTAACTTATTTCAGGTTTAAAAAAAACTTGATGCAAAGTCTGTAACTGTTTAAAAATAGAGTTGATATAAAAACCCTACCAAACAGACCCAAATTCATCTTTTATTTCGTATTTAAATGTTCCAAAATCAATCAAAGTCTTATACATGTACATGTAGAGATGCACTTGCATACGGTCGATTTCTGTCTGACACAGCTCATATACTATAGTGTGGCATGAATTCTTCTTTTAAACATAAGCAATGAGAGGTCAGATTAACTTTATTGCTGAAGCTATTGAATGTATTTGTGTTCAAGATGATTTTAAATGAAAGATTTCCACTTTTTTTACAGGTCTTGTTAGTCAGAGTTTTGAACTGTCAGATCAGCCCAATTATGGTAATTGGTCCATAGTTGTAGATGCATTTGTACGTATATTTATATTTAGATTTATATTTACAATATTTAGTAATGTTGACAATGTTTTAAATATACATCTCCATGTTTAGAAATCCAAAAGCTAAAATAGACTAAAATTTTCATGCCATAATATTAAAATTGTTTTAAATTCATGTGTATTAAGAAATCAAAAAGGTAATGTACATATACTGGGAAAATTTCATGCTATGTTATTTTATGTGGAATCTGAGTTCTATGTTTATTAGATCATATTTTGCATTCACATTTGGAAACTGTCTTTGTAAAGTAATTTTTTTTTAATTGCAACTTGACTGAAATTTTTTATAATTGCTGAAGTTATTTTGTCATATTTATGTCTTTGTTAAGACATCTTTCCAAATTTTGAAATTTTGACTGCTATGCTAAGGGGCACAACTCTTAAAAATCATTGGGATGTTTGTGTCAACCTTTTTCATATATATACATACTAAGCTTCTTAGTAACACACATTATTTTCATCTGAAGAGTTATCTCCCTTTGTCCAAGTTTTCCACCTGAAAAGGTTTGATAATCACAAGATAATAAACTCTTTTTAATTTAACTATGTAATCTGCGCTCACAATCTGAGGCTGTAAACACTTTGCAGAAATCTTTAACATTAATATTTTTTTATTCTCCAGGGAACAAGATACAACCAGTACTTTTTAGTAGAAGAATATTGTAAGTTTAAATATATTTAAAAAAGATGTATCGATTGCAAAATTATTAAAAAAAAAATATATTATTCTTCAACTTTGAAGATGAGTAAATTTTAGTTTTTTCAGTACTAATCATTCAAATGCAATATGACATGTAATGCACTTTTGATTGAATTACATCTGCTCTCAGTTCCACTGTTGTTGTTGTGGTCATTGACAATAATGTTGCACAATTGCTTTGGATTTCTTATAATTCTGAATATTTCAAATCTTTTTATTTTGATATACTTTTTATACGCCCGTTTACGGGACATATTATGGATATTATAAATTCAATTCATATAACCAATTTCAAGTTCTTTGACTACATTTATTCAGAAACCTATAATATGTCAAATATTTAATTACAATCCAAATTCAGACCTGAATCAAGCTTGAATATTGTGTCCATTTTTACCCCAACTGTTCAGGGTTGGACCTCTGCGGGCGTATCTAGCTGCGCTCAGCGAAGCAGTTTATTTAATATTGCATTAGAACTGAAATAACAGTAATGTATTTGAAGAGACCTATTGACGATGACCATAATAACAATTTGTATTAATTTATGACTTAAAAACATAACATATGATTATCCATACTGTTAATCCTTAAAATGATAATGTTGACCAAGTGGTTTGGGTAGTTGGAAAAAATCTACCTTAATATGTCACTTTACTCTCTTATTACTCTAATTTTTCATTAGATATAGTCTCACTCTGTTCATGTGCTTATCTAGTAACAATCAGTAGAACTAGGTATGTGATCCAGTTTCATCAAAAATGTATTATAGTAACTATTTAATAATATACTACATCGTTTCTAAGGTTCATATGGTCTTATTCAATGAATAAAGTGTGTTTCATTAATGGGAATATTTTTGTACATGATATTTCAGGGGATCCAAGATTTGATGTGAATGTAACAGTCAAACCATATATTATGGACAATCAGAGAACCATTGGAGGAATTGTAAATGCAAAGTAAGTCTTAAGAGCATGAAATCAGTATAAATTCATAGTTATTTTTATGAGTACTGAATTTTCAAAATCTAATTTTTTGTCACTTTTGTTAAAATGTATTCCATGTTGTTGACTGAAAATAAGAGTAATTATGATAATCTTCTTAAACTCAGTGAGTAGAATCATAAAGGCATTTGAAAGCATCATAAATGGAGTTTTCATTTATTCTTTTTATGCCCCACCTAGGGGCATTATGTTTTTTAGTCTGTTCTGTTGTGTGTCTGTCCGTCTGTCCTGCTTCAGGTTAAAGTTTTTGATGAAGTTGAAGTCCAATCAACTTGAAACTTAGTACACATGTTCCCTATGAAATGATCATTCTAATTTTAATGCCAAATTAGAGTTTTAATCCCAATTTCACGGTCCACTGAACATAGAAATGATAGTGCAAGTGGGGCATCCGTGTACTATGGACACATTCTTGTTATATATGTTCCTGTATGGCTCAAAAGTTAGACCATAATATAATCAAACTATTTTTTATTCTCTCTATATAAAGTTTTACCACTGGTCGCCCAACAGAAGGAAATGGAACAGTTGTTGTTAGTGTATACCCACCAAGTTCACTTTGTTACCAGAATCCTACAGTATATTACAACAAGTCTGAAATAACTCCTGTCATGTTACGTCAAGTTTACCCTTATGTAAGTATGATATTTATTATCTGCAGTAGTTCTGAGTTCTTACATATAATGTAAATTCAGAAATTATTGCGAGGTTTTTATTATTGCGAATAATGCGACTCCTTGAGTATCGCAATAATAAGAACTTGCATTCTGATATCTTGTACATATAGCTTTGTGTAGCTTTTCCTAAAATCACAATACTTAAAATCTCATTTTTGTTCATTCTTCAAAAATCGCAATAATAAATACATGCAATAATTTCTGAATTTACAGTACTGGTCTACCTTAAAATACAAAAATCACACACTGTGAATTCATTTATTTTCGTGGATGCCAATTTTCGTGGATTGAGGAAAACTTGCATTTTCGATGGATATTTTAATTTCATGGTTTTGTCAAAGTCTGCATACAACCTTATAGAAAATGTGTCATTCTTTGAACATTTAAATCTGTGGTTCACCTCTACCCTAGAAAGTTGGTATCCAACGAATAATAATGAATTCACAGTAATCAATTGAAGAGAAAGAATCAGCTGTTGATGGAAATTTTAAATTTAAAAATAAGGAGACGTGGTAAGAGTGCCAATGAGACAACTATGGAATTGAAACAAAATATCACAGCTTTTTTCAAATGGATAATTGAATAACTTCATATATGTAATAGAAATTAACGCTAAAAATATCAATTAGACTTTTAATCTCAATAATTTGAGATTTTATGTTTTTAACTTTATGTTGTAATAAAGGTATCTGCAAAATATCAAGTTATGAATAAATGGCGATGTATGCTATGCATTAATGTGACAACAACGAAATAAATGTCCAATAAAATTATTCATGTAAATTGTGTGGCTGAAATTTCTTGAAACTTTTATTTTCTTGTCAACACTTTAAAGTAAATATACTAGTCAACAAAAGAAACGATACAAGGTAATGTATTTTCCATATACATGTATAATGAAATTGGATACACTGTACCAAGGTAAGTAATTGCCCAATTGGTCTAATATTTACAGAGTGTTATTTTCTTATCAAAACCATTGATTTAAGGCAAATACAAGAATTTGTTTTTTGGGAATTTTTGTTATTTCGAAAATCGTATTTTCACCCAAAATTAAAAAAAATCGATAATAGAACTTTAAACTTAAACATGGTATGCTTAAAATTTTGAATGCCTTTGCAGATATTTGAATACTTAATTCTCATCTTCGAAATTAAGTGCAGACTTTTGTCATTTTCCGCAAAATAAATTTGACCCCTGTGTTCAATAACACAGTATTTTCTAACTTTCCAATTTGGTCAGATTCTTTTAATCATATGCATTTGCTTCACAAATGAATATTTTTCATTGGATAATTTAACAGTTTTTCCTGTTTATTATATTTTATGATAAATTGGGAGTTCAAACTTGTGTATCGTTTCTTTTGTTGACTAGTATATTTTGTCAAAATTTTATGAAAATCAAACGATCCAAATCTAGTCAAAGTGTGTGGTACCTATTAACTCAAATGAAATAACCTGGGAATGGAAAGTAAATAAACATATTATTGTAGTAGAAAGAAATCCACTCTATGATTTACATTTAATAGGTAAAAGGACCAATATTCTTTGAATTTAACATGGAAGAAATACGACGGGAAGTGAGAAGGTTTTACCCACAGTGTGTCACATTAGAGGATTTTGAGTTACAGTTTAATGTCAGTATTTATGACTGGTTCTTTATGATGACGGAGGAAGGCTACGCTAGTACTGTAATATTCAGTTCCAGGATAAGGTTACAGTGGGTTGGAGATATTGTCAGGACGTTTAAACCAGATTCTACTCTGAGTATTCAGGTATTTATAAACTTTTTTTTCTTCATATTTGCAGGGCAAGAAAAGTTTAAAAAAAATTATCAATGATGTCTTATTTTGCCCTATAATTTAGTTCAAACATACATTTCTCATGTTGATTTGATATAATCTTTTTTTCTTTTCATCTAAAAAAACTAACCAACAAAAATGGTTGTTTTATACTTATTTTGACTCTCAGGAATATAAAGTGATAAATTTTATCTGTAATTTTTTTTATTGGTAAATCAACAAGCCAATATTGAAATGTATTTTAAAAGTGCTCCAATTATGGATGTTATGACTAAATATTTTTTGCGTACTAATTAAATTTATGAATAAAAAAATCACTTGTGTAATTGATAAGGATCATTGGAGAAATTGTAATAAAATTTAAATTTTGCTTTGTTTTCAATCTGCAGGTGGCAGCAATGCATTATGATGGAACAGCAGTTAAATCTGCGAAACCTATTCACTTTACAGTAAATCCTATATCAGGTGCTACAGGTGCAGTTGCCTCACCAGCACCAGTAACACCAACAAATGGAATAGCAGAAATTAATATAGCTATAACAGATAATGGCATAACAGGCCTGGATATTTTCGTAAGTAATAGGCATATATCCTGAGATTGTCAGTTTTCCTACCAAGGGTAGGTGGTTCTCTCTGGGCACTCCGGCTTCCTCCACCAATAAAAACTGACCGCCACAAATTGCACAATAGTGCTGAAAGTAGTGTTAACACCAATTAGTCAGATATGAAATGAATAGCTTGTTAGTTGAAACCTTCCTAAATTGGCATGAATGTCCCAAAATGACATATGTATACTGTAAACCAACTTATCTTTGAAGATCTTTATTTTTGCTTTCAGCCCTTTCTGACTGACTACATGGTGATTTATTTTTCTAAATTTTTGAATAAGGGAAGATCCAATTTTTACATATTCACAATAATTTTTCTACTCTGGAAAAATAAAATGCTTGTAAAGTAAGTTAGTTTACTGTACTTTAGAATCAGCTTTAGTATTATTTAACTAACTAGAATTTGATTTATTTACATGTGATTCACAGAAATTTGCATAATATATCCTCTATCCCTTTAATTACTATTTTCAGTCATTGTGTGATGAAATATTTGAAATTTATGTGACAATGCAAACTCCGCTCTTTCCTATACTCACTGTACTGATTATTTTAGGTTGATACATAAAACAGTCCTTAATTTATCAGCTATGGTCTTAAATTGTTTTTCTAGATATTTGTAAGTAAATATGCTTTGTTTTTACAGGCAAGATACAATAATGAGCAAAATACAGAAATACAGATGAAGACAACTCGGTACTACTCGCCAAGTAACAGTTATATTACTGTTTCCACATCTACAAAGAATCCTAGTGCAAATGAATACATGATATTCCATGTTAGAACAACTAACTATATTCCTAGAATTTACTACCAGGTAATACATTGTCAAAGTTATATATATATATACTGTCAATTTTATTATTATTTGTATTGGTAATTGTACCACTACTTAGATTTTTGTCTTTTAGGTCTCTGATATTCCTGGATTGCATGGATAAAGATGACCCACTAATTTTAAGTACTTTACATATTCAAATTTTCTATAGGATTGTATGCAGAATTTGTCTAAACTCTGATATCAAATCTCCATTGTAATTGTATTTTCTTAAATCCATGAATTCAGAATTGAATCTCACAAAAACTAAATTTTTAGTCAAAGCAATCCTAAAAAATGTTGAAGGCTAAAGGCCATTATTTTAAGATTTGTAACAATCAAACACGATTATTATATGAAGAGTTGATATTGAAAAAAAGGTTCATGACTGGGAAAAAATGTTTTATCTTAATTCATTTAATTTCTTTTTGGCTTGAAAGCGTTTCATAAATACAGGTTATATTTAAGTTTTTGGCTTTAAGATTTATTTTAATAAGATCATTCAAAATATTGAAAATTAATTGATAAGATAATACTAAATATTTTATTTTATCCTCTGTATTCTTAATAACAAAAAGGGAATATTTTACAATATGTAAGTCATAGTACCAATATGTTTTAATTTATGTCTATTTGCCCGTTTGGATGTCTTTTATTACTATCAGAGGTGCTTTCTTTACCAAGATTGCATATGTGTCTATTTATAATATTATGGTTATTTTAACAGGTTATTGCCCAAGGAAATATCATCATTGGAGAAGAATTAGAAATGATTTCTAGGAGGAAGTCGTTTGCTATAGCTCTGTCTAGAGAAATGGTGCCTACAGCAAGATTAGTGGTGTACTATGTCTCAGGACAGCCAGAAGAAATTGTCATGGACAGCATCAGTTTCTATGTCAGTGGGCTGAGAGCTAATCCAGTAAGTTTTTATGTTGGATTTTTAATAAAAGCTCCCAACACCCCTCCCCAAAAACTCCCTAAACCCCTCCCCAAAAGTTTAAAACAAAAAAAAAACCCACAGAAAAACATTCAAGAACATACCCAAATAGACTAAAAACCTGCAAAACAAAAGTAAAAAAACTTGATCTGTATTCAAAGAATTTGTGTAGAACTCATATTACAAATATCAAAAGGATGTTATTCTAAATCCTAATATTTTTGAAAAAAGAAAAAGACAAATTAATGAACAATTGGATAAAATTTAAAAAAAAAACAATGTCTTTTCCTTTGTTTGATTGTAATATAAAAAAGAAAATGTCCATTTCAAAAAGTTGGATAAAATAGATAAGTATGAGTTTATGAAAAAAATATGGGGTACCAAGAAACATGAATAAAATTGTTCTTTTTAAATTATTCAATATGAATGTAATGATAATTATTAGTCATTGAGCCTGAATTTTTGTTTATCATTCTTGATTTAATGAATTAAACAAGATAACCTCAATGAGACAGCAACCCAGTGACAAAAATAATCAAAACAACAAACAACTGTACGTACAATATGTCAAACTCTTAATCATCCTGAGTCTATTGTAGTTGGGAATGAATTAAAAAGAAAGCAATTTAAGATCTGACATTTACACCCAATTCTCCAAATAAATAAATTTAAGAATTAAGATATGGCAACTACTGACAAGTTTTCTGACTTAGGACAATCAAAGGAAAATATGGCAGAGTTAAACTTGTTTTTTGGATCTCAACTTCCCATTGTTTTTATCTTAATCAGTAGATTGAACAAAACAAACATAAAAGAATGTGTAATACTACCAAGCACAGACAAAGCACCTAAACTCTAACAGTACTATTTATAAAAAACTCAAAATAAATGTCAAATTATATCTCTTTTATCTTAGGTTAAAGCAGAGGTTAACCTTGGTAAAGATTTTACCAGAGATTCTGTAGAGATTCGAGGAGAATCTGACCCTGGATCTTATATGGCCTTCTCTGCAATGCCTCTGGATATCTACAGTAGAGGAATCAATGATGGACTCACAGAATACAGGGTAGGTTGGTGTGCTAGCTGGGCTTGTGACTGGAGGTGTTCTATAGAGATTATAAAATATTTCAGGATCATTGTAACCTCTGTGGCCATCTCTATCATGCCATTGTGCATGAGTCTCATAAGTTTGTCGTTTTTGGGGCCATTCTCTACAATTAGACTTATGAACAATCTTGAGATCAAAAGGTCAGGAGAAAAAGTTTTGTCATTCTTTAGAAGTATTAACATAAATTTTGTCATAATTCTGGAAATATAGATGGTAATCATTGATTTGATAATAGTAATTTCATTTTTCTTACTTTGTCATTGACTGCCACAATGAATGGTGTATATAAATTGTAAGCAATCATTCAGAGACAAATATTTTCACCTTTTCTGCAATTAAAATAAGAATAATAAATAAATGATTGAATTACCTCCCCTTTTTCTACTAAGATAAACTCTTATTTCATCTAATTAATAAGAAATAATATAGTTATTATCACATGCAAATTATCTAATGAATTTTTGGTGGTGTTTGTCATTATTTACATTTTAAATGATAATCATGATGTTTTTACTCAAACCTTGTAGTTGATTGATGAGTTAAATTCCTATGATGGAGACAACAGAAGAGCATGGCAACACTTGTGGAGATTGAGTGAGACAGAGTTTGAATATAAATTTTTCACTTCTACTGGACATGGAGTTGATACAACCACTACCCTTTCTGTAAGTTAAAAATTCTTTATATTTTCATGTACATGCATTATAGATTTCACCCAACATGTGGCAGGTGAGGTTGACTCAAATCTTATTTGACTATTAATGTTGGTTTTTCTGCCGAAGGCATTGTTTCTCTCCGGGCACTCTGGTTTCCTCCAATAAAAATTTACTGTCCAGATATAGCCAATAGTGCTGAAAGTGGTGTTAAACACCCAACAATCAATCATAATTGATTAAAAATTTGCTGTTGCATTCCTTCTACTATTTGTCTGTTTGTCCAACAAATATTCCATCGCAGTTTTCTTAGGTAATACAAAACAGGATGACTTCATACCTGGTCAGCAGCTTGACATTGGAGAGTTGTAAAATTAACCACTTATCCGATCAGACACTAACCTCCTTTTTGCAGAAACTAGAAAAACTTTCACTAATTTCTCTAGTATCACTGAACGAAATGATGTTATATTTGTGATGCTATATTTATTAACTTGTGAGCACATTTTGAATCAGTCACACAACTAATACCTGTTTGCCGATACTTTGAATTTTTTCAATATGTTGAATGAGGTTAAAATTGTATGTCACATATTTCTACAGTACTAATGAACAGAATGACTTCATATTTTGTCAGCAGCTTGGCAGTGATAAGTTTTAACTTTTGATTACTTTTGGGATCTGTCTGACACCTACTTTCTGTTTTCTGATACTTTGCAGTAAGAGTAGGGGTATGCTTAGCATAACATTGCAGTCATTCTAGTTGTAACATATCTTAAACAATTTGTTGTTGGAGATTTCACTGATTTGAGGATGTGTGTCTTTAGTATCTAGAATTTAAGCATATTTGTTAACAAATCATAAGCAAGAAACATTAAGGGTCCAGGTTTTACTAGCTGAAATAAATTTAATTACCAATTGTTCGTGTTTTTTTGTAGCAATCTGGTTTGGTAGCTTTGTCTGATGTCACGATCACCAGAGTTGTTAGTAAGTATACAAATACATATAATAAATATCAGCTTATATAGAAATCAAGTACCAAACATCTTGCTTTATTCCAGGCTTTCTCATGAAAAGCTTATTGAAAAGTGTATGTAGACCTGTAAACATTATCTTACTGGGTCAGGGCTTTGCTCCTTACTAATTCTTAATGAGATGTTAGAACAATGCAGCCATTCTTCGGCAATTTTGATAAATATTTGATGATATTTATTTTCATGTTTTTTATGCATAAATCTTTTTCATTAAAACTGTTATACAGGAATTCAGTTAAAAAAAACAATTATCATTGTGAGTTTTTGGTGGGGTTCATGTTGCTCAGTCTTTAGTTTTCTATGTTGTGTTTTGTGTACTGTTGTTTGTTTGTCTTTTACTTTTTTAGCCATGGCATTGTCAGTTTATTTTTGACTTGTGAGTTTAATTGTCCCTTTGGTATCCTTCTCCTCTCTTTTAATCACTTATATAAATGGCAAATTAAAGTACACTCAAAGGAAAAGGTAGCTAGGATAAGTACATTTTTTGGCCCCTTGGATTCAACAATCAAAAAGTATAAATCTATTAACTAACTCCCTTCTGATGTACATAAGGGGTTTGTCTGGAAGATATCATAAAATTGAGAATGGAAATGGGGAATATGTCAAAGAGACAACAACCCGACCATAGAGCAGACAACAGCCGAAGGCCACCAATGGGTCTTCAATGCAGCGAGAAAATCCCACACCCGGAGGTGGTCCTCAGTATTTAAATGTTTGAATTGTGTCTTACTCCTTTGTATCTTTACTCTTATATATTTGCTTTAGGGTTTCAAACTTCTTGCATTTCATGCAAAACTGCAAAGTCTGCCAACATAGCCTCATTTTGAGATCTTGTCATTATCATCGATATTTAGAAAAGAATCAGAAAAGTAATATTTAGACGGGAGTCAAGTCTTATGAATTTGATATGTTGCTACAATATATAGTATACAAAGATGTAAATTTGGATAAAATAAATTTTTGATAAGGACTTGAATCATTTAGAAATGACTATGTGTTAAATGGGTTATGTTAAGCTATTTTGGCATACTTTTGTTGATTCTATCATGTCAATGACATCACAATTGACTCTTTTTGGACTGAAGAGTCCAGATTATATCATTCTACTCATTTATCAGTAGAACAAACATAGATCTAAAAGGATTGAAGATATTTATATTTTTTGCAATTTCATAGCTTCCTTGTTTTGAATGTGCAGAAAGTGTAAATAAAAGCACATTAAAAGTCAGATTACAGTACATGTATTTAAGAATATTGTTGAAGAAGCTGTAACTGTTAACAGACTGGCATAACATGAAAAATGATATAGGACTTTAAATTAAGAGATTTTTGCTTTATTATACCTGTGACCTCCTTTATGAAGAAATTACTGTTTCGAAAGATAAAAAATTGATAAAAAATCATGTTTAGTAATCATACTTTTTCAGATCCCTGTAACTTCACAAGAGATGGCATGTTGCCTTGTTTTACTGGAGAATTGTGTTACAGTGTGAACAAGACATGTGATGGAATACCACAATGTAGTGACTGGGCTGACGAACAAAATTGTAAGTGTTTATTGACAGTCCATTTGATGAATAGTACTGTAATTTCAGAAATTTGTGGGTGCATCTATTTTAGCGATTGTTGAACATTGAACAAGAATGCGAGATTAATTTTTGATCAATTTTGCCATTTCTGGAAATGGATCATACAAATTATGCAATCATAATTTAAATTGGAAGTTTTTATTTTGGCAAAACGTATCACTTCGTAATTTTCACAATAATAAAAACATCACAAAGTTTTCAGTTTGATATTTTAATGGCTTGAACTACTTACCATATCAGATTTTCAAGCACCAGTTACAAATTGATTATTAAAGATAGTGTACACTTTTGGTATAATTAGATTCTGATTGGGTCTGGTTATTTGACTTCCTGGAAGACATATACCTTGTGAATTACCACGTTAATAGCTGTCTCAGCCTATTTACCTAGTACATATTTATTTCACATTAACATGTTCTCATCATGAATATGAATGTTATACTTGCCACTGGACATTAAACTGCCAGCCTGCTATCTGTGATCAACTCCATCTTAACCAGGGAATGGGTCTCCGTGAAAATCATTGATTGTTTAATACATAATGGCATTTTTATATGCCCGTCAAATTTTTGACGGGACGTATTATGGTATACAAATGTCCGGTGTACGTCCGTCTGTCCGTCTGTCTGTCCGGCGTAAACATGTTGCACCGTAACTTGAGAATGACTTATCCAAATTTCATGAAACTTAATATAGTTGTTTCTTATGATGGTCAAACAATCTGTATACTTTTTGGTGAAAATAAGATTAAAACTTTTTGAATTACGGGACTTAATAACTAAAACAGGTGTGTTTTTTTTCACATGTCGCGCCGTATCTCAAAAACAATTTATGATTATTGCTTAAAACTTTACACACTTCTTAGTTATATTAATCTTAAGATCTGTATACTTTTTGGTGATGATTCAAAATTTTATTTTAGAGATATTGAGTATTTTGTTAAAAAGGGGGGAGGGGTTTTTCACATGTCGCGCCGTATCTCAAAAACAGTTTATGATTATTGCTTAAAACTTTACACACTTCTTAGTTATATTAACCTCAAGATCTGTATACTTTTTGGTGATGATTCAAAATTTTATTTTTGAGTTATTGAGTATTTTGTTAAAAAAGGGGAGGGGTTTTTCACATGTCGCGCCGTATCTCAAAAACAGTTTATGATTATTGCTTAAAACTTTACACACTTCTTAGTTATATTAACCTCAAGATCTGTATACTTTTTGGTGATGATTTAAAATTTTATTTTTGAGTTATTGAGTATTTTGTTAAAAAAGGGGGAGGGGTTTTTCACATGTCGCGCCGTATCTCAAAAACGATTTATGATTATTGCTTAAAACTTTACACACTTCTTAGTTATATTAATCTTAAGATCTGTATACTTTTTGGTGATGATTCAAAATTTTATTTTAGAGATATTGAGTATTTTGTTAAAAAGGGGGGAGGGGTTTTTCACATGTCGCGCCGTATCTCAAAAACAGTTTATGATTATTGCTTAAAACTTTACACACTTCTTAGTTATATTAACCTCAAGATCTGTATACTTTTTGGTGATGATTCAAAATTTTATTTTTGAGTTATTGAGTATTTTGTTAAAAAAGGGGAGGGGTTTTTCACATGTCGCCCCGTATCTCAAAAACAGTTTATGATTATTGCTTAAAACTTTACACACTTCTTAGTTATATTAACCTCAAGATCTCTATACTTTTTGGTGATGATTCAAAATTTTATTTTTGAGTTATTGAGTATTTTGTTAAAAAAGGGGGAGGGGTTTTTCACATGTCGCGCCGTATCTCAAAAACGATTTATGATTATTGCTTAAAACTTTACACACTTCTTAGTTATATTAACCTCAAGATCTGTATACTTTTTGGTGATGATTCAAAATTTTATTTTTGAGTTATTGAGTATTTTGTTAAAAAAGGGGGAGGGGTTTTTCACATGTCGCACCGTATCTCAAAATCGATTTATGATTATTGCTTAAAATTTTACACACTTCTTAGTTATATTAATCTAAAGATCTGTTTACTTTTTGGTTTTGATTCAAAATTTTATTTTAGAGATATTGAGTTTTTTGCAAAAAAAAAAAGGGGGTTTTCACATGTCACGCCGTATGTCAGAAACTATTTATGCTTATTGCATAAAAATTCACACACAAGACGACGGGCGTATCATGCGCTCATGGCGCAGCTGTTTATTAATAACTTGATTTATTTATTGATCAATCCTGAATATGCATGAAATATTTGCCACTGGGCATTAATAAAAAAACAACCTGTTATTTATTTATTGATTTAAATGTTAGATGGCTTCCTATAGCAAAACTTTGATTTTGTGGGAAGTGTTTGAATTAAAAGAGTTCTCTATATTTTATCCTTCTTAACTTAAAGGTCCAGTTGAGGATCCTCGTTACAACAATAGAACTGAGGGAATGATACACAGAGTTAGCAGAGTTTTAAGATTTTATGAAGACAGTGCATGGGCATGGAAAGAGTACTTTACAAAGTAAGATTACACTAGGTTATAACATATACATATAATACATGAAGCAAATTGAATAAAAGAATGTTTAACATAAAATTTCATATCCATTTTATCGTGCTATTTTTGATTTTATTTGTGTGATTTTGGGTTTTTCACCAAAACATGGACTTCTTCCTTTTCTGTTTATATTATTTGGGGACATAAAGGCGAACAAGTGTTCTTTTGAAGACTTTATAACCGATTTTGTGCATGCATAAAATTTAGGTTTCAATATTATGACCAATTCTTGAAAACAACTGGCAAAGGAGAAATCAAGAGAAAAATTATTTATGAAAAATGTTAATATAAAAAGGTTGATTTTCAGTAGATCACTTTAATTCAACTTTTTATCCCATTAACTGAAAATGTATGTAATCCTTACTCATTAACAGATTTCTTAATAAATTAAATATATGAAAGATTACAAATGATGTACATTCCAATGTAACCATTTTAAAAATGACAATAGATAATGCAGGTAACACAAAATTAAGCAGAATTCTTAACAAATTTTTATGCCCCCGCAGTCACCTGAGGGGGCATTTTAAAAGTGTTATCCTTGTCGGTACGTATGTCCCGAAATTGGTTTCCTTTTTCTAACTTTTAGTTTGCTTCAACCAGATGTTATGAAACTTACACACAATGCTTATTACCATAAAACACAGATCAAGTTCCAATTTTGGTGGTGTCACTTTTTTCGTTCTCGAGTTATGCCCCTTTATATAGCTATATGCAAGCAGTGGCATCATCTGTGTCCCATGGACACATTCTTCGATTATTTTTTTTTCTAACTGCCACATTTAAAATATTTTGGTCTAAAAAAAATTGTAACTTCAGAATACTAAAACTGTTTTCTTTTGAACTTGTAATATTATTTTGTTGTTAGAACTAAAAACCTAAAAACACCCTGTTCTTTTGATATAATAAGTTCCTAATTTAGAACATATACAGTAAAATCAGAAATTATTGCGAGGTTTTATCAATGCAAATAATGTGACTAAGTGAGCATCGCAATAATAAGAACTCGCATTCTGATATCCGATATATATATCTTAATGCAGATTTTCCTGAAATCGCATTAATTAATCTTGCATTTTTGTCCATTCTTCAAAAATCGCAATAATAAATGCACGCAATAATTTCTGAATTTACAGTACTTGATGTCTTTTTCAGACCAGACAGGAAAGTTCAGTTCAGGGTAAACCCTCCAAAATACCCACTAACCTGGATGATAAATGGTATTGCTGTTAGTAGGAGCTTAGGACTAGGAGTAATGAGCTCACCTATAAGGGTATGTATTGAAATAGGGTCATTCTATAAATTAAGAGTTTATTGATAAAGCAGAAGGTGCCAAAGACCTTAATGGAAATGGGTTTAGGAGTAGTTTACAAACCAAACCATAGTTGTATTAACCAATTTTTGGTTCCAATTGTTCAATCTGATTGTATTTATTTCAAGAATGTCAATTTACAGGTGTCCAAGCCAAACAAATCAAATTAATGTAATTCTATTGTGAAGTCACAAGAAGTAAACTGTTTCACCTTAGCAGTAACAATTGTATAAATATTTGGATTAAAAGATAAAAAAAGAACTGACCAGAAACTTAACTAACACATGTATGGTTTTGGTTATAACATTATGTGGCAGCCTCTACACAAAGTGGTCTAGGAAGACAGTTAACACCTAACTACACAACACTTCAAGCTGTCAAAAACCAAGTGGTCTAGGGAGGCAGTTAACACATAACTACACTGAGCACTTCAACCTGTCAAAAACCAAGTGGTCTAGGGAGGCAGTTAACACCTAACTACACTGAACACTTCAACTTGTCAAAAACCAAGTGGTCTATGGAGGCAGTTAACACCTAACTGCACTGGACACTTCAGCCTGTCAAAAACCAAGTGGTCTATGGAGGCAGTTAACACCTAACTACACTGAACACTTCAACTTGTCAAAAACCAAGTGGTTTATGGAGGCAGTAACACCTAACTGCACTGAACACTTCACTGATCTGTCATTTGCAACAACTTCTTTTTTATTAATATGAATGATTATTGTTCCCTTAATGTCAGTCAGATAAGAGCAAAGCTGTAATTTACCAAATGATTCTGCTTATAATTTAACAAAAACATATAAGCATTGAGCTACTAATTAAGTTTAGATAAAGCAATTGGCAAATATAAGTTTTTAAATAAGCAAATAAATTAATACTGGAGCAATGGATTAACAATGTAAACAAATATTTGAATATAACTCCTATTTTTGATTTCTTTAATTTATTTTTCAGTACGATGCCTCTAGATTTATGTACATGATAGTAGAAGCCCCAGATATTGTGGTCCGTGGTGAGCATGTCGGTGTTAGAGTAACAGTATTCAACTACTGGCCTGGTGATAATTTCATTGAAGTTTTAGTGACAATGAAAGGATCTAAGTACTATGATTCATTACTTGTCGGTGATGAAGGATATGTTGATTCCAGAAATCCATTGCGGCACCCTGGAGATCACCAGACTATCGTATTTGTAAGTTATTTTATAAAAAAATATTTACAATGCATAAAATAAGGAGATGTGGTATGATTGCCAATGAGACAACTATGGACCAGAGACCAAATGACATAGATGTAAGCAATAAGTCATCTTCTGAATTAAAATTTGACTTGGTTGCAGATTAATGATTGAATAAGAGTTATTCCCCTTTCTGGGGATAACTATGAATATAAGAATATTTGTGGTTTCTTCAGTTAGATAGCACCTCAATGACACAAATAACTAAATGATATATAAAATGCAACATTTAGACATATCAGACATCCATCTATTGAGGATATTCCTGACCTCAGACAAGTACATGGATAAAGACGACTGCTTTGCTGCAATTAAGAGTTATTGATCAATGATCAGCAATTCTTTTTCTATCAGTAAAATGTAATATTGATGAATATGAATATGAACTTTAAACAACGAATTAACTTATAATCTATTTTACAGATTAAGCTGGAATTTTTTTTATATGATAGAATTGATCCTTTGCCAAAAAATGGCCAAAATATTCAGGGTTTCGGTTGTAATTGAATGCTTGATTAAAAAAATAGAATTAATCTTCTGCCAAACAGACGGCTAACATATTTAGGGTTTTGACTGTAATTGAATGCTTGATAAAAAAAAAACCTACAAAACAGATTGAGATCAAACTAATTTTACATATATTTTTTTATTTAGTTGGAACCTGGAACTTCAAAGGATATTTTTATGCCTATTATGCCAAACATAGTCATGGGCAGCTTTAACATCTCTTTAGAATGCTGGTCGTTTATGGATAGAGATTTTTTCCACAAGACTATTTATGTTAAGGTAAAGTATTGTTGAATATAAGTTCATGCATGTAAAAAAAAAATCAAAACTTGATATTATTGTAATATATAGTCTGTGTAAGATACTATGAGACTAAAAGTTTTTTTTTTAATTTTTAGATTGTCTTTTACCAGTTTTCAAATGAAATATTTTCATGTCTTTTACCAGTTTTCAAATGAAATATTTTCATGTCTTTTACCAGTTTTCAAATGAAATATTTTCATGTCTTTTACCAGTTTTCAAATGAAATATTTTCATGTCTTTTACCAGTTTTCAAATGAAATATTTTCATGTCTTTTACCAGTTTTCAAATGAAATATTATCATGTCTTTTACCAATTTTCAATTGAAATATTTTCATGTTTTTTACCAGTTTTCAAATGAAATATTTTCGTGTCTTACCAGTTTTCAAATAAAATATTCTAAATAAAAAAAATTCATACACTATGAAGTTAAAAACTCCTAAATCCTACCTCAATTTTGGGGTGGTGATTTTTTCAAGAGAGAAAAATTGGTGAAAAGTGAAGAAATGGAATACCTTTCTAAATTCATTTAAAAACAAGTATTTTTGAAAGAAGATAAAAATCATAATTACACTAGACTTTTGGAACTCAAATGTGTGAAAATAGTTTTTGGGAAAAAAATCAACTGAAAAGTTGCTTGCTTGTCTGTATTAATACATGGAAAACAATATTAAAAATGAGTATAAGCCATACTGACTTCATTACTACAGGAAAACACGCATTGCTAATATTTTGTAAAGTAAGATGCTTTCAGAGATCATCAATTTATGTATTGCTGAAATTTATTGCTATTTGAATGAAATGAATAAAATGGTGAAAGCAAATTGAATCAGATTATTTTAGTGGCCTATTTAAATAAGGAGATATGGCATTATTGCCAATGAGATAACTATCAACCATAGATCAAATAACAAGGATGTAAACAAATGTACTGAATGGCCTTCAGCAATGAGCAAAACCCATACCATATAGTGGACAGTGATTGATGACAAAAAAAAAATATGAAGGCTACCAATATTGACAACTGAATAACAGGCTCCTGACTTGGGACAGGCACAAAAAGAATGTGGTTGGGTTAAACATTTTTGTGAGTGCTACCTCGGCCAGTAGTGTATTATGTTTCAAATGTTAGTGCACACAAAGTTCTGTGCACATTCTATATTTTTAAATGATCAACTTATGCAGGTATTAATACAAATGTATTAAGAATTATTAAATTGATTATTTACAGGCTGACGGTGTAGAGAATTATTATCACACCCCATATTTGATTGATTTGATCAGATACAGTTCTATCAAAATCCCAGAATTGAAAGTAAATGTTTCTGACAAGTTTATTGAACCTGAAGTCAGAGAGCATCTGTATGTTCCTGGGTCAGAAAAAGCTGTCCTCACATGCTTTGGTAAGTTCACCATATTGTTTTTAAGTTTAATGTTTTGATTTTTTTTTTTAGAAATGTTAAATTAGAATATAGAGATTTGAAGATAAAAACATTTCAATTTCAACATTGAAACAATTTTGATTATTGGTTGGAATAGAAAGAGAGACTGGGTCAAGGTTATTGGTTGGAATAGAAAGAGATATTGGATCAAGGTTATTGGTTGGAATAGAAAGAGATACTGGGTCAAGGTTATTAGTTGGAATAGAAAGAGATACTGGGTCAAGGTTATTAGTTGGAATAGAAAGAGATACTGGGTCAAAGTTATTAGTTGGAATAGAAAGAGATACTGGGTCAAGGTTAATGAGACTGTAAACCAAGAACACTAATTTACAAAGATAATGATGATTGATTGCTGTTTAATGTCCAGTGGCAAAATAAATGCATATTCAGGACGAGAACATGTTAATGTGATATGAATATGAACACTGCATTGTAATAGACCAAAAGAATAAGTCAGATTTTGAACATGAAGACATGTCACCTGATCCAGGCAATATTTGTAGTCTTTGTTCAGGCAAATAACTGTTTCTGTAAAAAATTGGTAATTATTATATGTTGTATTATTTGATATTGAATTCTTTGTTTTGCAGGTGATGTTGTAACCCCAGGATTCTTCACCCAGTTCCCCACAGCAGAAGACATCATGCGCAGGCCATATGGTGGTGGTGAAATGAACATGTTTAACTTTGCGTACAATCTAATTACTCTCAAGTTCAAGAAAAATAACCAACAACTTCCAAATGACATCTTGAGAAGGACACTTGGGTACATGAATATTGGTAAGACCATTACACTATAGTAGGTGTTGTACCATACAAATATTTTCTTAGGTGAGACAATTACAATATAGTGAACATCATAGTGTTATATCATACAAATATTGTCTCAAGACTGGATAAATTTGTTCAGTTTGTGATAGAAATTTTTGAACTTTAAAAAAATTTCATTATGAAAATCAAAATGACTATGATGGAACAGCTGGACTCATGTTGTACACTTGTCTCTTTGATTAATAATTGATTGATTGTTGGTGTTTTGTGATTAAACACTGTACACAAAAACTATCAATGAATATCAGTGTTCTCCCCAGGATTTTTTTAAGGCGCAAAATTCAAGGGCACGTAACTCTTTTTTTTAGAGTGAACGTTTGTGATCTGAAGCAATAAGTCATAAATCATGACATGCAATATGAATTATAATGCTTTGTGTTATGTGTTTAATAATGCAGAGTATTAATGAATTACAAGAATATATATATGAAATAAATGGATTTTAAACACAAAAGTTATTTATATTCAATCAATTAAAGAAGTCAAAATATAAATATTCATCTCTACTCTCTGCTCCTTCTAGGGATATTGTTTCAAGATAGTGTTATTTTGTTTGACAGTCTGTTCCCCAACTTTGTCTTTATCCTCTTCAGGGTTAAAAATTAAACCCCCACTCACAATAACTTTTGCTGATACCCCCTTTAACATTTCTAAGCCATGAAAACTCAGTCAGCCACTTGTCATTGAAAACAGAAACATGGTGCTTGCTTTTATCAATTGCTAAAACTTGAGCTTGGTTGGGATTAGGAGAAGCAATGAAATCTGCTTATACTGACAGTGTAGACGGAGGTGTATTCCACTTTTCATTAGAAGTCATTGGTGTGAAAAAAAACTTCTACTTCCATCATCTACCTTTTGCTTATAATTCACCCCTTTGTTATTTGCAGAGAACATGTTCATTCAGAATTAATAAAATCGAATATGGTTAAGATATTTGGAATACAACTTTTTAAAACAATTTTTTTTATAAATGAACAGCTGACCAGTTTCCGTAGTTTCACATTACGCTTCCGTGCGTATTATTGTTTAATCCTATCTTTGGCAGATAGATATAAACGAAACTTTACAAATTCGTTAAAGTTAAAACCATTGAAACTATTTACCAGTGACATTATACAGAAGCTGCGGCGATTCTGTACCCGTGTTGATTGTCACATATTTCCCGACGCACGGATTCACGATCGATGTTCAATGATCATTTTATTTCTAAAAATATGACAGTTTCAGACGAATTTACCTTGCAAGCAACATTTTTTCACTTTTTATTAAAGTAAACCACTCCTCGTTATCTTTAATCAAACTTTATTTTAATTTTTTCAACTACTAATACTTTCATTCATAGTTTTCATCGTAAATATCTTTAGCAATGTGTATTCAAATTTATCATGTGTATTCAACACGTTCATTGGTCGTGTTTAAATAGATTCTTCTTCTCGACCAATGAAAAAATTCGTTATATAAATGGTCAAGTGATCGCACACACGATGCGTAAATACAATGTATTTGCGATCTATTTCTTCAATTTCTGCACTGAAGTTTTTAAAATTTTTAATTTTCTTCAAAAAATATCTATCTTCGTGATGATCATTTACGCTATTACCTGATAAAATAGTCCGATAAGGCTGAGATAAGCGTGGCTCAGGTAAAACTAATTATCAGTTATTGCGTAACACTGACCGACCCATCACGGCATCAGCGGTGATCAGTAACTTGACAATTTTAACCAACATTTATAATGAAAATGTGAAAATTAACACGCTGCGGGATCAAGTATCAAGGGACAGCGGCCAATTAAGACGCTGCGGGATCTACAAAAATATTATGAAGGCGCTGCGGCACCGCAGCGTCATATCGGCCTGGGGAGAACACTGAATATGGTAACAATAATTAACATAGTTTTGATCAATTCTGTCATATGAGTTGATAGAATAAGAGAGCCATTCCTACAACTGATATAAAGATTAAAAGTTTTTTAAAGAAATCCTCAATAAAATGTTAGGGTTGAAGCTCAAAGTGAGGGCTGGTAACTTACTTATTTTTGGGGCTATGTTTTTATTTTACTACATTAAACACACTACTGGAACGTTTTGTTCATAATGATTTTTTTGGTGAAAAGAGCTTCTGAATCCAGTATTTAAATTTAAAGGCTTGTTAAGCACATGATCATTGTAATATTTGTTTTGTTTTAGCTTTACAGAGACAGTTGAGCTACATGAATGATGATGGATCATTTAGTATGTTTAGGGATGATGAGAGTCCTAGCATATGGTAAGTTCAGTCTGTTTGAACAACATTAACCTCTCCTGACTTAAAGGTGATAGTTCTTTGAAAATAAATAAAAAAAAGGTTACCGTATTTTCCGGATTAAAAAGCGCACCCCTAAATAAGGCGCACGGCCGTTTTTGGGGGTGAGGATTGTTTTTTTCCTTACATAAAACGCACCTGCATATAAAGCGCACCCTGAAGAAAACGTACATGCATTCTACTGACCTTAGCGTAATGAATGTCCACTCCTTCTTGTAACTCACTCCGTAACATGTTTCATTTTTATTTTCAGATTGTTGAGAAAGTTGAAAGACATTTTGTATATATTTATTTGTTTCATATTAAAATAAATAAATGTTAATAAAATTATTATAATTTTCTTATTGTTTTAATCATGCCAGATTCATTAGTTGTTTTTTGTCAACAATGGCCATGTGTTGACAGCTTGGGTGTCCATTGAACCTTGTTGTTTTGATTAAAATTAGTTCGGTGTTGATTGCTCATTTATTGTTTGAATTGGAATCAAGGATTTTAATTAATCTTGAAAAGGTATTCATTAAAAGTTACCCAAGCCATAAAACTGCCATTGTTTACCTTGATTATGACCTACTTAATTACCTGTACCCACGTGTGAAAACTGTTCACCCATAAGTCAGGAAAAATAATTATTAAATTAAATCTAAAGAATTTTATTGTTGTTTATAAAATAAAAGTTTAAGTTTTATAAGTAACAAACATTTTTCAATTTAAACTTGGTTGAAAACTACGAACAAAACCATTCAGTTTCTGCAAGTCATTGTCTATTTTTAACTGAAAGTGAGATGGGCCACAGAAAGGGGAATTCAAATAAGACGGCGATATATAAATGTCTTAGCATATTGAATTATGAAAATTAATATTCATTTTTTTTTATTTCTTACACCAATATGTGGCTACAATATTTCATAAAGATATTTCATTTTGAAACAATAAAACAACAAGCAGTTACTCCTCAATAGTATATCCTGTATGGTACCTCTTTTCAAACACGCTTATCTTTCTTTGTTTATGAAACACTTTAAAGGGTTCATTTCAGCACATGGTTATCACCATCGTCATTAAAAGAGACTTGAAATATTGGAAAGAAACACAATCACTTCCTTTATTATTTCTAAAGAAGATTTTATTTAAAAACACATTACAACAACAAACAATTACATATTTATTGTAAATACACAATTAATATCCTGTATGGTACCTCTTTCAAACACGGTTATCTTTCTTTGTTTATGTAATAAACACATGGTTATCAACTTCGTAAGCCAACAATGAAATAAAGAACAAATGATAAAGTATATATATTTTTATTCATAACAAAATATGCCACATGAACAATTTATCAAGTCACTGCAAGCACTTGACAATCTGACGGTCTCCATAAAAAAAAAATCCAGATATATATTTTTTTTCACGCTTGCCCTGAAACTGAAAAAAATACATACATAAAGCGCACCTGAGTATAACACGCAGGGACAATGACAGAGAAAAAAACCTGCGGCTTATTTAACGAATTTAACGGTAATAGGTCAGAGTTAAAGGTTACTAATAATATATTAAAGCAAAAAGTTGATCTATTATTTTTCTTAATTATGATTTCATTCTGAAATTACAGTCTGATTTTATTTAGTATAAAACATTCTCTTGAAAACACTTCTTCTTGAAACACTTGTTCATGTTCAATTTTAAGAGAGGCACATAATTTGTCAACATCCTCTATTGTGGTAATTCTTGGAAAATGCAAATTTATAAAAAAATATGTATTTCTCCCCAAATATATTAATATCAGTATTTTAAATTGCTTCAATATTTCACATATATCTGTTTACAGGTTGACTGCATTCGTTGCCAAAACCTTTCAGGATGCTAGATTTGGAGAATGGGAGAAAGACATGTTTATCCCTATTGAGCTGTTAAACAAGATAGCTTTGTATCTCTGTAGTCAGCAGAACAATGTCACTGGTGAATTTATGGAAGAGAAAGCTCCTATTTATGACAGAACTTATGTAAGTTGAAAAGTTCATTGTCTCCTGCCACACTAAGATGGAGGTACAAAATTTTTAAAAAGTCTCCATCCGTCTGCTGAAAGTGACATTACAAATACAGTACAAAAATTCCATAATTACATGTAGTTATAAAATAAGGTCTGTGAATAAGCAATTGAAAAATTTGAGAGATTGATGTAAAAATATTGTCTCTGAATTTTTCATAGGAAATGTATGGTAATTATTGAATCATCAGAAAGTATGGGGGGGGGGGGGGGATTATGTCAAAATAGAAAGATTTTTTACAACAGATGGTTCACTAAGGCTCATATTAAAAATGTACAAAGAGATAGAGAGTTGAAAGATAAATGTAAAAACCAGTGCATTAATTAAAAATTATATTGAAAAATTAGAAATAAGAGGAACAAACATTAAGATATGAGCTGTCTGTTAAATGAAATATTTTTTCAATTACTGTTGGATTTATTATTTCAGGGACATCTGAAAGAGATGAAAACCCAAATATTAATGGGACATCCAGTGCCCTTAACATCTTATGTTCTGATTGCCCTTAAGAAATTGAAAGATGCTTCAGGGGTAAGTTTCAGTTATTTAGAAAATTCCAGATAAGTTTTTATGCACTTGTTAATAAAAGATCTTGTGGTAGCATAATCATAAGAGACCAACATTTTATCTCAATCTTAAAATACAAAAAAAGCTGTATTAGCTTTAATAATTTATACTTATAAAGGTTAATGAATATTCCATACTTATTAAGGACTAATTGTTTCCATAGCAATGCTGCTGGAAAATATAAAAATAAGAAGATGTGGTATAATTGCCAATGAGACAACTCTCCACCAGAGACCAAATGATATAGAAGTTAACAACTATAGGTCACTTAACGGCCTTCAACAATTAGCAAAACCCATACAGCATAGTCAGCTACAAAAGTCCTAATTAAAAATGTAATTGCTTTTTCAAACATTTAAATAATGGGAAGGACTTCAAGGGAATATTACATGTAAGAATTGGTGGTTCATTTATGTCAGGGAAAAATGCTACAGTTGTTGTTACCTGTTACCCATTTAGACCCTCTTTTTTTAACTATTAACTCATCTTTTTAATCATCAACCGAAAAAATAAAAATTTCTATTTCTCTTCCAAAACTTAAGAATAGGCCTGTTTTTTTTGTGTGTGTTTATGACTTTAAGTATAAAACATTGATATTTCTGGTAAGAATTCCACCACAAAGCATTGTGTTCTGACTTTCTGTCTATGCAGTATAATTGAATACCAGGAGGAGAAATTATCAAGAAAGACAACAACAGAAATACAATTGAAAAGACGAACTTCAAATTGATTGACTTTTCATTTTGATTATTTCAAAAGATATGTATATACATTGTATCTTTTCAAATAAAAAAAGCTTTGAATAAAAATTATCCATCTGACCGACCATACCCATTCAGGTTTAATTGTAGCTCGAAACAGAATTTTTCATTGTTAGCCAGTGGTCATTTTTACATATTGAATATGATTTTGATTTAGGATGCACAGAGTTGTATTACAAAAGCAGCAAATAGAGCATCAGAGTATTTGTCCAAGAGAGCAACAGAAATCGCTGAATCCAAGGAAGTATTTCATATAGCGATATCAGCTTATGCATTGTCCCTTACTGGAAAAAACAGTCAGACATTATATAATGAACTGATGAGTCAAAAACGATCAGGTAAATACTTATACAGAAATGCTGAAATTATATTATGTAATATGATTTCTGATTGGTTCCATTACATGTTACAGTAAGCCATTAATTATTAGTCCCCTACCGACGAAGTCGAAGGGGACTTTAGGTTTGCACTCTGTCCGTCTGTCCATCCGTCAGTCCAGCAAATCAGCTTTCCACACTTTTTATCTTCGTTCTTGAAGATATTGATTTGATATTTGGTATATAGTTTTATCATGACAAGTTATAGATCAAGTTCGAATTTTGTTGCCGGTCTGATGATTTAGTCCAGAGTTATGGACCATAACTCTGGACCATATCTAATGTTAGAGTACTATGTTAAACCATATTTCTGTACAAATGGAGATAACTCATTTTTTAAAAGACATTCTTTGTTAAATTATTTGAAGAATTTTTTGGCAGGTTTGTTTGTTATTTAGTATAAACTAAAATGAATGCTATATATAAAAAAAAATTAGGAAGAGAAATCCTTTAATTAGATAATAATCTATTTTATTATTAATGTATATATTGCAATACATTACATTGTGTAGATAAAAGTTGTTGACATTTTATAGATAAGTTACAAATCTATATTAGTTTGTGACAAATGAAAGAAAAAATATTTGGAACTATTAATTATATTTGATTATAATTTGAAAATAGATATACACTGTATTACATCATATCTAATTTTAGAGAACTATTAATCATATCTAAAGTTATTTTCACCAATATAATCAGTTTTCCACACTGTTTTTAGTCATGCTTGAAGATATTGACATGATATTTACTTTTTGTTTACACCATGACAAGTTATAGAACAAGTTAGCATTTTGTTCCAGTAAAATGATTTTTTCCGGTAGGGGACTATGTATTGCCATGCAATACTCTCAGAATGCTTGTTTTATGTAATATGATTTCTGATTAGTTACTATACATGTTACAGTAAGCCATACATTATTTTATGTAATATGATTTCTCTGAATGGTTACTTTACTTGTACAGTAGGACTAAGATTATTTGATGTTACATGATTTCTGATTGGTTACTTTACTTGTACAGTAGAACTGAAATTATTTAATGTAACACTTCTGATTGACTTATCTACAAACAATCTATAAGGGACAAGAACTACATGGTTATACTATTTTAAAGGAAAAAATTGACCAAAAGTACACTAAAATAAAAAGTAATTGATGTTTGATAATTTAGTCAAATTCATAACAAAGATCAACCAAATGTATTTTCAGGTAAAGAAACATATTTCGCTGATGATGTAGTGCGGGACAATCCATCAACCTTTATAAACACAGTCCGATACCTTCTACCAAGACTGCCTCTGGTTAATGATGGCTATGCTGTTCAGACTACTGCTTATGCCTTATTAGCTTACATGAATCATGAAAAAGATCAACAGGCCAGTGGCGTTAAGCAGGAGCGTGACTCTATGATGAGGTGGCTTCAGTTTATGAGGAATTATTTTGGTGCTTTTGCATCCACTCAGGATACACTGGTTGCTATGGAAGCGCTGAGTGAATTCACTAGGATAGATCCAAACCGAAATGTCTTCAACATGCAAATACAGTTGCAGTCGTCTGCTACTCATGGATGGATGAAATACCTTTATCTACTAAAAGATAATTATACCAACCTTGAACAGGCATCAGTAAGATATACACATTTTCTATCGCAATGTTAAGAAAATTAAAATTTTGACTTCATTACCTGTTAGATAAATACATTTTTTATATCCAAGCTTTCAAATTTAGGTTGCATTATTGGTAAAATATACATATTTTAAGTTCCAATGTTAGGAAAAGTTTTAAGTTTTGGCTTCATTATTGCTAAGATATATATAGAGAATATCATATGGCTTTTTCAATATCACATCCGTATCAACCCGAGACATCAATATAATCCCAAGAGCTCTGCTAGAGGGATCATATTGGTTGAGGGTTGATAGGGTGTATTTCTCCAGCCGTGATATTTCAATAATGGGGATAATTTTAAAACAATTTTAGATATTGGGCTATTCTGACATTAGCACAACCTTGTATTTTTTCAGATTCCAAATGTATATGGTCAAGCCTCAGTCACTGCTTTAGGTATTGGGAGAGCTATGTTGCAGGTTTGTTGATATTATTTCATATTGAGAAATAAACATTTTTCAATTTGTTTTTGGTAAATTGATTTATATCAGCATTATTATCTTATTCAAGATGGTTCCACAAATGAATTCATTTGAATATCAGGTGAAATATCAGTTGAAACTTGATAAGTTGGTTGTTTCAAATAAAGTAAAATATGCAAGGAACTATATTCTACACATTCTCTCTTTGTTTTGGAACTACATCATTGACACTCTCTTGACGCAAACTACTGTGAGGAGTGAAATTAGATAATTTTTAATGTGAAAAAAATCATCTAGTGAAATTATTGGTTTTTATTTAACTTGGAAATCACAGAGTCTCAATGCAACCAATATAAGTTTTGTTACAGACTGACAGCAAATAATATTTGTAATTTATATTTTTACAGCTCACAACAACAGTAAATGTAGAATGGGAAGAGAAAGTTCGTGAAACTGTTGACTTTCAAACATTCTACGATCTCTATCTAGATGATGAACCCAAATTTAGTGGCAGGAATAATTCCATCTTGACTCTACATCCTTGTGTCAGGTATGTGACTTACTGTCAGAGCAAAGTTTAGATTTATGTTTTCTGAAGAAAAAATGGAAGTGGAAATACAAAAGAATAGGATTTGAGGACTGAGAATTAATTGGGGTTGTCAGCATCCTCATTTCTCTGCAATAACCTTAGAACTTTAATTTTCATCTAAAATATGAACTGTATACAGAGAAAGTGATCTCAACTGAATACTGCATAAACATGACAACTGATTTTGAACTTTTGTCCCAAGAAATACAATAAAAAGTAATTTTCAAAGAGAGAGAAGTCTAACAGATAACACAATTGCCAAAAAAAAAAAAGATGAAAAAACCTGTGGAACCAACAACAGTGTTCTGAACTGGGTCAACTTAAGTAGCTTTTCCTATATTTGATATATCAAATAACGATATAACTGTTATGGTAAATGAAATTTATTTTTCATTTTTGGCAGTTTTCCCTTTATTTTCCAGATTGATTTAGTTCCAATCACAATAACACTTCTCCTTCCTCTGTTTTTTTTTCTATGGATTTATTACTTTTTGTCCATATAGGGAAAATAAATAGTGTTTCTGTATAATTTTTTCATAGTTTTGACAAAAATTTGCCAACAAACCTATAAAAAAATGTATTTTGTTGAACATTAAAATTCATGGTACACCTTAATTCAACAAAAATCCATACAAATTAGTACCCAACAAATGATAATAACTTCATAAAAGATAGGGGGAAAATTGGGATTACAATGTTATCTTGAGATATTTTTTCTGTTACAGTTGGGTGTATCAAACGAGAAGTAAACAAGCAGGACTCAGTGTGTTAGAGATAGACGTACCCTCTGGTTATGTGGTGATGAATCATACCCTGAGGAATATAGTACGACAAGGAGTACCTGCTAATCTGAAGAGAGCAGAGTACTATGCAAGGAAAGTTGTCCTGTATTTCAGCTATGTAAGTATTTGTATAGAAAAGATTTTTTTGCTGTGCATTGGATTGAGGTTCATGTCTTTAATATGACTATTTGAAATCTATGGAATTTAAAGGTTAATTTGAAAATTGAATTTATAACATAATCAGTAAAATAGGGTCTGATTTCCACAACAAATGTCAGTATATAGGCTTCTGGTGCAAAGTTGTCTTATTGGCAATCATACCACATCATCTTATTTTTTATTTAATTATTCATTAGTGAAATCTTTGCAGTTGGATTCCTGGAACATTTCTGAATTTCAATTTAGTTTTAATCAGGTTTATTAAAACAAATTGAATGATATTCCAGGTCATTTAATTGGGAAACTGGCAGAAAAATTAACACCTTTAGAAAAACTGATTTTTCATTGGAAATGTTATTTACAAAAATCTTATTTCTCTTTTTGTGAATAAAACAATTTATCCCTGAAGAACAGCATGTAGTGTTTATACTTATTCAATAGACTATTTTCATATTACCGACTTTCGACTCCGGATTATATAATTTGTCGACTGGTTACCTTCGACATCATGGTACCAAGTCAGGTAAGAGCATGCTAAAAAAGTTATACCAAGCTTTCAATCGGTACAATTTTGTTGGAAAATTACCTGTTTAACATTTTTTTTTCACTACAAAATCATCGGAAAACAGTAAACTTTCCCCTCAAATTACACCGATTATATGTTTGATTTTACTTACTTTGGTTGCTTTTACTTGACTGAGTACGTACCATGATGTCCAAGGTAACCAGTCAACAAATTATATAATCCGGAGTCAAAAGTCGGTTATATGAAAATAGTCTATTTTTCAATTAATATTTCAGTTGGATAACAGTAAGACTTGTGTGAAGTTTGATGCCTACAGATGGTACCCTGTAGCTAACATGACTATTCAGAACAGGATGAGAGTGTATGATTACTATGAACCAGGTATGTTTAAATCAATACTACATAAACCTTCTTCAGCAGTTACTTCCCTTTGCCTTCTTTGGAGACACCATGTACAATTGTAATGAGACATTTCTTATTTTATTTTTGTGTGTGTGTGCCATCAACTGATCTCCAGTCAATATAAAATTAAGATGTGGAATGATTGCCAATGAGACAACTCTCCACTAGAGACCAAACGATGACCTAGAAGTTTATTCTTTTTGTTTGTTGAAGTCCAATTTTTATCAAGTGCTTAAATCCTTCTATATAAGCTAATTTGTTAATATAAAATGGAGGTTGTGCAGTCCACAGTTAGGTTAGATTAAACAGTATGAAATTAGTATTTGCTGCTTCTTCACCAATAACATGTAGCATTTATAATCTAGAGCAATAATTTAATTTTGGATGTAACACGTTTTCTGATTGGCTGACGTTGTTTTGTTTATCAGCTCATATACATAATTTTGTCATGTGACCGTGACGTCATCAACGTTTTTTCGTCGTTTACTCCGGTTTAAAAAGAATTTAGAATTAAATTATAAGAAATGACTGCAATATTTTTTCTGTCTATTCGAAATAACATAAAAAATGTGGTGCACACTTTAAAATAACCTGCTACGCAGGTTATTCAGTGTGCACCACATTTTTGATGTTATTTCTTCATAGACAGAAAAAATATTACAGTCATTCCTTAAATAATTTTCTAGCATTAGGTCGTATAAGTTGTGTGTCTAGTATTGTGCCAATAGATCAGCCTCTATATACAGGAAAGGTGATCTTAATATAACATTCAGGTTTTCTCTTCTAGAATAGGATTGAATAAGGATAAAAATTACATGCTTTACATCAAAAATCCATTCAAGCCTGTGAACGATAATAGATTGGAGCATTATTGATGAGATATTTTACTTTTTTACCAGTATATAATGTCGACTTGAATTACTTTTTATTATACCCCCACTTTAAAAAAGTGGGGGTATACTGTTTTACCTCTGTCTGTCCGTCCATCCATCAGTCTATCCGTCAGTCCGTCCTTCTGTCCCACGAATATTTTTCGTCGCATCTTTCTCAGGAACTACAATACAAGGATTTCTGAAATTTGGTTTCAGGGTTTATATAAGTCAGCTATACTGTGTGATGCGTTTTCAGATTCATCACTCAACAACTTCCTGTTTACCGAATACTTGTATCATTTTACACATGATAGCCAAGTTGAAAATTTTCGTCACATTTTTCTCAGGAACTACAATACAAGGATTTCTGAAATTTGGTTTCAGGGTTTATATAGGTCAGCTATACCGTGTGATGTGTTTTCAGATTCATCACTCAACAACTTCCTGTTTACCGAATTATTTGGTTAGGGGTATCATCAGTGAGCAGTAGCTCGCAGTTTCACTTGTTAGCACAATTATTATGTATAAGAATTTTATTTTGTCTCTTCCAGGAATGCACAGGACAAGATTCTACACAACTTATGATTTATTCAACTTGAATATTTGTTACGTATGTGGATCGTACCAGTGTCCATATTGTCCATTCTTCAATGTAGCAACAGTGATAAAGGCAACATTTACAACGATAACACTTTTCCTTGGATTTATCGTAAAACATTATCTATCAAGAGTGACTTAGCAGTGACTTAGTCCCTATTCAGAATGTCTTCTCATTGTTATTGTTTTGAATATTGATATATCTCAGAAATTTACTGTTATGCATAGAAATATATGAAAAAGACGACATTATGTACATATATGAATTCATCATTTCTCAAACTGTCTATTCATTATAATTCATTGGACACTTTTTTTTTGTTGACTTCATCAAATTAAAGTTGAAATCATTTATTTGTTTAATAACTCTGTGATTCATACCAAATGTTATGCAATGGAAGAATTTTTGTGAAATCAAAGGTTGCTATATTTGTGTCTTTATTTATACATTTTGTGTTAATGATTTAAGACTCATTTAGTCCCTTAGACAATTAGGCTAAACTTTTTTATGGCTTGCATATATAGGTGAAATTAAATGTAAAATGTCAAACACACTCCATCTGAAATTTTCTTTCTTTTACCTGATCAAAATATTTTGTTCTTCAAAGTTTGGAATCAGAATTTTTTTTAGTTTAGAAAATAACCTTAACCCTCCCCTCTTCAGAGTTCAATGGTAGTTCCCTAAGGTTATTTTTAAAAATGAGCACAAAATATGCATAATTGTAGTTGTGGGAAATTTGTATAACCAAGATATTGAATATACATATGGAAATCTAGAATTCCTAAAGATGTACATAAATGTTTTCTTCTATATGCCTTAATCAAATACTACATTGCATGATTGGTTATGATTTTACATTTGTCAATTAAAAGTTAATGATAAGTATCAAACATATCATATCCTTGTGACATTCCTTTTTTTACAAGCATTTGAAATTTTCTATTTTGATATTTGTTAAATGGATGTATTTTGAAGTCATTGAAAACATATCACATTTCTTTTGTATATGTCATTTTATATTGTACTTATATTAGACAATATATGATAATCAAAAGTGATTTTTAAGCATGAAATCTCTTTAACATTCCAAACATTCTGAACATTCCCTTATTGAGAGAAATTTGCTGCATATCTAAAATTATGAATTATATAATAAACTCTTTTATTGGATACAAAAATATTTTGAGAGCAGCCATTTATCTTTAATGGTCTCTGTTATGAAAAACATAGTTGATCTCCTCACCAGAGACCACAATTCCATTGCTGAAATGTTGATCTTGTGCGAAAGGGCAATTTTTTTACCAAGGTTGTACCTTTAATATTTTTTAATGTTGGTCCTCCTGACAAAACATTATTTCCCCTAAGGTAACTCCGTCATAATGTAAGAGACGCAGCATTGTTTTTATTGGTTGTGTCATAACTTTTTTTTCTCTTTTTAAATGGTCATACATGTGCTGATTAAGTGATTACAAATAACACAATTATCTATATTTATGTTTGAGGATTACACATTTTGTATATATTGTAGATATAATTTTGTATATATTAAACATTTAATCATTTGAATGAGACAGGTGAACTTTAAAAAAAAAAAAAAACTGTACCAAAGGTACCATCTGACTGAATACTAAAAGACTTTTTCATGAATGAATTCAAATGCCTTGATTCGGAATAAGTATGTCCCCTGATCAGTCTTAAGTTGTTTTTTATGAAAATTTTGGCACTATAACAAAACAGGATAAAAATGTACTTTGTCTTTAATTTTTGTGGTGTGCTCTCCCCTCATTTTATGTATTTTGGAAACAAAATGAAATTTGACTGCAAAAAGGTAATGGCATTACCACAGAAGAGCAAGTTGGTACAAAATTATGAAGGTTTCTGCTAATTTTGAATTGTATACCAAAAATATAACTAATTTTGGTTGTATAATGAATTTTTTATTTTATTGAGAATATGACAAACCACTTTTCAGTGCCATATTATATTTTTTCTTCTTTCCATGTATATATATATTCATGTATAAATGTGCTGTAATTTTAGAGTGCTCTCATCATCATTATCCAGACTTATGTTTTCTAACAGTTTTAACCTTGCAAACGGTTATCCAGAATGATGTGTTGTACACATGGCAATCATCGTGATAATAATGTGTAATACATTTTTGTTTACCAGGGAGAAATTTCATTTGTGTAATAGCATTTTTGATGTCACTGTTTCATAATTCTGTTTCTGAAAAATGCAAATGGGCGTGTCAAAATACATGAGTACATAATCTGGATAATTTTTGTAGGAAACTAAAAAATACATTTGTATCCTTTAATTTCCATAATAAAATTTTGTAGTACAAATATTCAGGAAGATCACATATCAGCCTTTGCAATTTGAAATTTTATAATAAATGACATTCCATTTTGTACATTTTTCATTTATAAAAATTGACATTTAATTGTTTTTATTATAAACTTTTATGTAAATCTAGTTTTGTAATTACTATACATATGTAAAATTGTAATAAAAAAGATGTGTTTTTATACATTTAATCAACATTCCTTAATATAATGGAAATAAATATTTTAATAATGATGTACTTGTTTCATTTGTTACTTACGGCCTTATAGCTTATGCTTGGAAGTATTGAGATTTCAGATGTGAACTTTTTCTCGTAAAAAAAGTCAGAAATTAAGCAAAAAATCTACTTTGGTTTAAGACATAACTTCAAGAAATCCAATTCTGATCGCATGCTGTGATTACCTGATAATTCACCTGGTTTTGTATTCTTATAAAACATTATTAAAATCTGTTCTGAAATTATTAGGCTGACCACTTCAATGTTTTCTTGAATGTTTCTCTGTTTTCATTCAGAATCTTATATCTACAGACCCTTTAAGTCTTGCAGTGGCTGATTGTATTAAACTGCTGAATCAGTATAACTCAATTCATTTTAATTTAGTATATATCAGTATGTAAAATGTCATAAGTTCTTGATGGTTGACCATATTTTCACTTCAGTGGTCATGTGAAGTTTTCAGACAAAACTCATTTGGTATTTAGATTCTGATTTCATTTTATGCTCAAGCGGTCGGGTTGTTTTTTTTTAGGTAAAATGTGTTCTTCATTGACAATGCATGATGGGCCAACGATATTTGGCCTTCTTTTACTTTAGGGGTCCCGACATTTTTGGATTTTACTTTCGGGTTCCCGGTCCATAAAAGTACAAATGAGAAGTAATGGGTTGCTGAAGCACTTACATATAGCCTTCTTTTACTTTAGGGGTCCCACAACCTATATATATATAATTTCAATGGGACCCCTAAAGTAAAAGAGTGCTATAATGCCTTATTTTACTTTAGGGGTCCCACAACCTATATACAAGCCAATGCTATATAAACAATCAATACAACAGTATCAATTTTTAATACACTATATATTGTGGGACCCTCCCATTTTTTAGTAATAATGTTGGGACCCCTAAAATAAAAGAAGGCCCAATATTTGATATATTGATCGACGGTTGTTTGCTAAGTGTCCAGTAGCAAATATTTCATGCATCTTCAGGATTGAAATTCCTGTATTTGATACACGACTTATTTCATATACTGTGAAAGTACTTTTATTCATGTGTATCAATTTTTGTGGTTTGAGCAAAAGTTACGTGTTCGTGGGTTCTTAAATTCATGGATTTTTGTAATATGAAAAAAATTGAGTGAAGAATTTAAAGCTATCAGAAACAAAGATTCTTGAAAATAATCATATGTTTATAATGATTTGTTGGACATTGTAACATTGCAAAATAAGGTTTTCATTTTCACTTTAATAAAATAATTGTTTTCAGAAATAAGCTGATTCATCTATACTACAAATAGTTTTGATTGAAGGAAATTGGAAAGTAATCATTTTAATTGTTGCAAAGTGCACAAGTGTTATCAGAATGAAATGATGACACTAAATGACCCAAGATAGAAAGATCAACAGATTATCAATCATCAAAGGTGTTAATTGGGCCCTAACATGTTACTTAAAGAAACGGTTACATAAAAAATGCTAAAAATATACTTTGAATTGTAGAATTAGTTATTATGAAATAAAAAAACAAGCCCATGTTGGGGCCAGTTTTAGTGCCGACTAGTTATACAGTATGGGTTTTTCTCATTGAAGGCCGTACAGTTGTATACAAATGCTTACATCCACTTTAAACCACCTTATTTGAACTTGGATAATTAGTTGTCTCATTGGCAATCATACCACATCTCCTTAGTTTTATACCAATATGAAATTACTAATTTTTTTTTCATATGAAAATTCTGAGGAGATAAAAATTTAAATGAACACATCATCACGGTAGGTCTGACTTTCATTGATCGAAACTAATATTTTATGAGAATTAAAAGTGTAAAAGTCATAGAGTTAATATTTTATTTTAGATTAAATGGGTAGAAACCTGCCTGAAGTTGAATATACAAATGTATACTCTATTCTCCAAAGTGCATTTGCTAGTATTTGATGTATCTCTAGATGATATGTCCATATCCATGAAGTCAAACCTACATAAAAACTGGCATGTTTGTCCATTCTTCAAAAATCGCAATAATAAATGCATACAATAATTTCTGAATTTACAATATATGATATCAAATATAGGACACCACACAACCTTCAACAATGATCAAAATCCATACCACATGGGCAGCTATAAAAGCTAGGTCCTCACATATAGCTTTAGGTTACTGAGTAAAGATTTAGCTTCCTTTCCTATATTACATAATGACTAAATATGATACATCAACAACATTTGGAATGTGGATTTGTTGAAAGGACTATACCCAGTATGTCTTTCTTACTATATTTGACACGTGAATTTTGTGGCTGACTAATGACCTTAACAAGAAAGTCCCACTCCAGGGGTCAAGTTAACTTTTCAGGTTTTGGTCTGTTCCTCAAAACGTTTTGTATGTGAATTCTTAACTTCATAAATGTGTGCAGCTGATACTTTTGATTTGACCTTGGCATCAGTTTCAAAACCCATTTACTCTTAAAATCATTCAAGTATTGCTGCAGGTGAGACATTTTTATGTATCAACTGTTGTTAACTATTGCTGAAGTATTACTTTTGAAATGAAGATAAAAACAATTCAAACTAGAATTGCTATCGCAAGCAATAGCGGAGGATGTAACCCTGGACTGGACATTGCAACAGTAGCAGCAACCATTGTGAATACATACCAAAGTCAAATGGCACATCTTTATATGCCAGAACTTCCAAGCCTTTGAATCTCCCCTCCCGTAAAAAAAAAAAATGCAATCATCCCGTAAAGTTTGAGATCTATACTGTAAATTCAGAAATTATTGCGATGTTTTTATTATTGCGAAAAATGCGACAGGGTTATAATCGCAATAATTAAAACTCTCATTTTGAACATTTTTATATGAATCAAACAGGATTTTTCTGAATATCGCAAAAATTAAAATCGTATTTTAGTCTAAAATTACAAAATCGCAATAATAAATGCACGCAATAATTTCTGAATTTACAGTATATAGTTTGGGAAATCTTTTGAATCTAAAATAAGACCCGCCTGCGAGGAAGAACATGGCATCACTTGATGCTCAAGGATATAAGCGTGGACATAGCACATCAAAGTTCCTTATAGAGGGGAACTTTGAACAGACAACATGTGAATATATTGACGGAGTAGCATATTAACTGTTCATTTTTTTCTTTATTAGGTAACGAATGGTTGATCCCGGATCACACAATATATGCATTTGATCTGTATTTTATCCTATCCAATTTAATTACATGTTTATCAATTGATTTCACCTAATGTGTATATATTAGCAGGTGTTTGAATCCTGTTCAGCCTCTAGTTGTCTACTAGTTTTCAGACAGACAAGTGACAAATAGGCCCATACTTCAGGATCAGCATTGTTCAGTATGTTGGCCTTTCAAATCACAATTTTTGTTAAGAGTAAAAGCACGTTTAATGATTATATATATATCTTTTTGCTCTAAAAGATGGATTGTGTGAAAATGTATAAAGGGAAATAACTCAATAATTTGCAGTCGCAGAGTAAAGGAATTGTAGATCATTTCCTTTTATTCAGAATAGATCTGACTGAGTATATTCTTTTAGGCTTGTTATGGTGTTATATTTTAGAATGTTCTTATGCATATTGCAATCACTTACATGACTTACTAACTACATAGCTGATATGGACTGTATTTTAATCTGTCTTTCAGTTAAATGAACTAGGAGAAGCTGTCCAAGTTTTATAACAATCCATAAAGGTTTACAAATTTATCATGTCAAAAAAGCATAACCCCAGACTGTCTGCAAATGTTTACTTTGAAAAATCTAAGTCAATCTATCAGAAAAATACTGAAAAAGAAAAAAAAATATTTTCAAAAGTTTGCTTCAGACATTATCTCTTAATCATAAAAAAGCTTCTGCCAAAGTTTCATAAAATTCTATGAAGGTTTGATAAAGTAATTGATGTGTAACAAACTTTAACCACAGACTATCTATTTGTTTAATGTAAAAAAAACTAAGTCCATTTATCAGTTAAAGAAAATGAAATAAATATTTCCAAAATTTTGCTCTGAAAGAAGACTTTTTTGTTGAATTAACTGAATGTGATTTTTTTCCTTGGTAATACTGGTTATTTCAAGCAATACTATCAAGTTTTATCATAATCAGTTCAAGAGTTTGAGAAAAATCTAGTATAATGTAAGACGACACCTACAGGTTGCACTTTGTAAATACAGCTGTTTCACAAACCACGCCTCTTTTGGGGAGATATATAATATTCATAGATATTTTGTATTGTTTACCTACTGGTTCCCATGTATGAGCTCTATGTTTTATCTCGTAGAGACATTACTTGGGAATGTTACCAGTAAATATACACATGCATAGCGGCCAAATTGAAATCTGTGGATGACCCAAAGTGAAGGGAGGGGTAGTACAGAATTTTAGTATAAGTTTAAAGGGGCATTAGCTGTCAAAATCATGTTCACCAATTTGACTCAAATTTTCATATTTGATTTATATCATACCAAAACGTATATCCACATTACAATAAGTCTGAAAAAAACAGTTAACAATGCATGTACTCGTTAATATTTATCAGAATTTCATGTGTTTTCTAGTCTAAATGCCATCTAATTAACTATCGGGATGATCTCCGAAGATTGCCGACGGTCACATAACCGGACATAAGCATAAACATAAATATAAATAGATAGCGACCTCATGGAATTGGAATTTTCTAGGTCTGTTTGATTTCATGTTAAAGGTTAAAAAAATAATTTAATTATCATTTTTACCTGTATAAGAATGATTTTTTGTTGATCAAATCAGTCAACGAAATGGTTCACCTTTGTTTCACTTTCAATGTTGACATTCTTTTACTTTTAATGGCTGAACACGATTAAACATGTGTAACCAATCTCTAGGTAATAGGTTAAATTGAAGGTCTCATGAATACGGATTCAATGAGGTCGAATTATTCACTTGCAAGTGAATAATTCATCAGTGATGTTTCTTTGCTTATTTAGACAAAATTGAACCAAATTGGCTGCTAAA